ATTAATGGCTAGAGCTACAGCTACAGTTTTCTCTCAAGTATATACAAATGCCTTAGAAAAAGCACAACAACAACACCATCAACAGCAATTAAATCTGCAATCTCAACAAGCTCTTGGTAAAAAGAAATTTTCAAAAATTTCCCAAAAATTTTTCAAAAATTTTTCAAAAAATCTCAAAAAAAATTTTCCTTTTAGCTGCATTTCCAATGTTCCCAGCTTTTATGGCTTCTGTTTCTATCCCACAAACAATGCCATGTATATCACCAATTTCACAACACCAACAGCAACACCAAATAAGACCTTTACCCATTGAAATGCCAAACAACACTAGTACAAATAATATTCTAATCCCTTCAAAAGTACATCCCCAACAACCCCAAAATTTATCCGAAAATGGTTGCTCAACAACTAAACCCAATAGAAAAAGGAAAAGATCAAAAACCGCTGGTAATGTTGAGGGAACACCTCCAATAAAACAACAAATATTACAAGAAGTTGAAATCAAACAGCCAAATAATCAACATCAATTACCCCCAATAGAACAACAACAATCTTCTTCAAGTACATCCCCTCCTTCCACTAGTCGAATAAGTTCACCAGATTCTAATTCAATTGTTCATAAAGGAAGAAAATTGAAATTGTATGCGGCGGAAGGTTAGGAAATTTAAGAAAATTTTAAAGAAATTTTCAAAAAATTTTCAGAAAAAACAGATATAATAGATTATGCAAAATGTATAGGAAATAGAGCTGCTGGAAGAGAATTTAATGTAGCCGAATCTTCAATTAGAGAATGGCGTAAAAATGAAGAAAAAATTAGAAAACAGGCTGAAACAACTGCTGGGTGTACCCAACATTTTGAAAAAAATCGGGGTGAAATTCTGACAAGGATTGATGATGAATTGGTATTTTGAACCTGAAAAGACTCAGAAAAATTTAAAATTTTCTTCAGGTAAAAATGCTCAATTCAAAAGATAAACGTTGTACGACTTGGTATGGAATTGCAGAACAAGTAACCTCTTTATGGGAAGAAATCACAAAAGAATTAAATATTGAAATTAGTGAAATGAAGATTACAATGGTATAGGAGCTTCAAAATAATTTTGAAAAATCAAGAAAAAATTTTTTTGTTAAGGGTTGGATCTCAAGATTTATGAGGCGTAATGAACATCGTGTCCCAAAAGTTACCCCACCTATTATTGCAACATCAAGCGCTACAAATGGAACTTCAACTGTTGCATCACCAAGTATGATAACTCGAAAAAATAATGTTGCTGTATCTTCGACTGTGGTTAGTTTTAGAAAAAAAATTCTAAAAATTTGTGAACCCCAAAAAATTCCCAAAAAAATTTTTAACTAAAAATCAGTATTGTTTTACTATACCCCAAAAATATCCCATTTTACGTCCCCGAAAAAATCGCTGTTAACAGCTACAAAAAATCCCAATTTACACCCATCGATAAATCCCATTTTACAGTCCCCAAAAATCCCATTTACACCCTCAATAACTCCAATTTTACAGTCCCCAAAAATCCCATTTCTACACCCTTGATAAATCCCATTTTATAGCCCCTAAAAATCCAATTTACAACCCATAAAAACCTCATTTACATCCCCGAAAATCCCATTTTACACCCTCCAAAAAATCCCTCTTTTCACACCTCAAAAAATTTTTTCAGCAACCAATCGAAACTAGAGCAAAAGCAAGAAGTAAAGCATCTACATCTTCAAATAATTCCAAATTAAAACAAGAAAAAACAACAGAAGATAATAACAAAAATATAAATGAATCATCATGTTCAAGAAGGAAACGCTTTAGACCTATTCGGGTAATCAAAAAAATCTAAAAAACTTAAAAAATATTCTCTTCTTTTAAAGGTTGATGCTGACTGTGCTACGCTTATAACCTCACAATCAGCAAATCAAGAACAACAAAATGGTGATAATTTACAATGAAGGGAGGTACTGGAAGGATATTGAAACTTAAATTATATAAAAAAATGTATTTCACCCCAAAAATCCCATCCCACTTTCCCCTCTTTTATCTTCTCAAAAAACCATGTGCCTTAAAAAATACACAAATATTGCCTCTATTTTATGTCAGATTTTTTTTAAAATTTCTATTAAGCTATTTCCTTAGTCAATTCAATCCTTTCTCTAAGTATTGCGCGCTTTATTCTTATTTATTTTTGCTAATTTTAATCCCGGCTTTATTCTCTTTAAAATGCCTATTATTTAAATGCAATCAAACGATTCTAAAATATTTTAAAAAACTTATATAATAAAGGATTCATCCAGAAAAAATTTTTTTGAATATTAAAACGAATCAGGGGGCAGATTCGGCCGGAAATGACAAAGGTGCCAGAAACGAACTCTCGGGGAAAAAATTCAAAGGCAAAAAGGACTCAAAAAGCATCGTAAATTTTCGAAAATCGTAATTCCGACTGACCAACTCTGATAAAAGACATAAAATATTTTTTCCCGATTCTGGATGGATCGTTAAATAGCCTATAATTATTAATTGCCGCATTTTCTTGTTTAATTTCAACGACAAATTCAGTGAATAGAAAGAAATAATGCAATAAAAATATTAAAAAATAAAGCTTATTATGAAATTAAAAAATTATTTTTTGCACTTATCTATCGTTTATCTTAAAAAACAAACCGAGAATATGAATAACAAACATATATATAACCGAACATAGACAAGGGATCCCAGGGCATAAAAGCAAATAATAAAAATTACTAGAATAATAGAAATGTGCCCAAAAAATATTTCCCTTCAAAAATTTAAAATTTTTCTAACAACCCTAAGCAATATCTGTAGGTGTTGTCGAATCGCTAAGATAAAGAATGTCATAATGTCCTGGACGATAAAGGAAAAACAATTTTGGTTCCTCATTTCCATCAACAATAAAATCATGTCGCCAACCGCCACTTGGCGCCTGACTTCTGTCCATATATTCAATACGGATTGAGACCCCTTAAAAAGCGAGGGGATTTTGAATAATTTTTTCAGCCCCATATATTTTTTTTATAAAATTGTTAAACCTACCAATCGCATTGACTAGAGCAATTATGCAGAGGTGATCACAGTCCTTCCACATCGGTTCAACCTTTAAAAATAATCGTTAGAACGGAAATGGGCAGAGGAGGGGGTCCCCTTATTTGTAGGATATCACTTTATTTGGTGGGTATGGTCAGTTCGCCCTACGGGAGGGGGGGGGGTCCCTACCAATCAACTGGAATATTAAGTTGAGATGAGATCCCCTTATCAAGTGAGCTCAAATAGAGATAGGGTGGATATTAAATAAGTACCCTAAAATGATAATATAAACCTCTTCACGACAGAACTGGTCAATCGTTCGACTTCCTTCAACAAATCCAGAATAAAGAGCCTCATTCTCACGCAAATAGCCAGAACAAATAAAGCGACAAAATGCCACATAATAATTAGCAACACCATCTTGATTCAAGTCATCCATCAAAATTTGTGGTTGCATTGTTCCGTCGATCATTGAAGTCATTAATTGTTCCATCTTAAAAATATTTTTTATTAAATAATGAAATTAAATAAAATTTACAGAAGTGCAAAAGTCGCCAGTAGTCAAATCAGGAAAAGATTCAAGCTTAACTAATCGTTGGCGCCATTCTTTGACTTGTTCATTAAATCTAAAAATTATTTTTTAACATCATTTGATTTATTGTTGAAAAAAAATTACAAGAACAAAGTTTTGCGAAGGCACTACCAATACCGGGCATGGCTCCGAAAGCTAGCTCCGGAGCAGTCCAGCGGAGCTAGGGCTAGGATTTTAAAATGCCAAGAGGAAGGGCCAAGAATTTGAAAAACCGAAGCCAAAGTCACAAAATGCCCAAGGTGAGAAAAATAATTTTTTCGAAATAAACCCCAATAGAAAGATTCATGATGAACACATACAAAAACTTGTCCAGTATAATCAAAATTATACCGATTCAATTCATCAGCGTGGTCAAAGCATCGCTCCAAAAGTGCAGTAAGCACAGCCCTGTAGAAGCAATTTCCATCACCACGAATCCGACGAATATGAGAATAGACTTCAGCGAGCTCCTTAAATCGAATTTTTAATAAAAAATTAAAATATTATAATGAACCGTCGCCTTCTTAAAATATTGAGGACTGTCATCAGGATCGAATTCAGCAACCAAACTTATAATTTCCTGTTTGTCGGAAACGAGCGGTTGAGTCTTACGAACCTTAAAAACGAAAAAAATTTAATAAAGGAACATAAAAAATTAAAAAACCTCATCCTCAATTTCAGTCATCATTTGTTGTGAACGCTCATACATTTGCCTTTCATTCTCCGCAATTTGTTGGGCCAAGGTCAAATCTGGGTCAAATTCAGGCGTCGCCTCAATTCCAGAAGTGGAGCCCTTATTAACGGATTCGTCAATTTTACTAGAGACAAAAAATATAAATTCAAAAATCGGAGAAGTTTTAAACCTTGGAGAAGTTCCTTCCATTAGATATCCAAAAGATACTTCAAAATATGTAAAAATAACTAAAGTTGTAAACGTCTGGGCAAAACTAAAAAAATTTCCTGAAAAATATTAATCACAATTTTAAATAGATATTGAGTTAATAAAAATAAATCGAACAAACATAATCACTAGTTTCATGATTTATAAAAATTAAGTAAATTTTGGGATAATAAAAATTTTTTGGGATAATAAACATCACAAACAATATTAAAGTTTTTATACCTATTTTATTTTAAAGTCGAAGCTGGATTAGACGTTTTACCCGGGGTTCCGATAACCTAACTATAAGTGTGTGTTTACAAAATTTTCTCCGGATCTGAGTTCGAGCCGAAAAAGTCAGAGTTCTGTGCGGGCCATTTATGGGGATTAAGAGTAAAAAAGTTAGGCTTTTACCCCAGGCTTCGGACACCAGCGACATTCCCGGTGCAAATGGAATTTTTACCTTTCTATCAAGATTCGATAATCTATATCTTATTAATTTTTTACTAATTTCCATCATTTTCTTTATAATCGTCTTCGTTCATACTTTCTTCGTAATCGTCCAAAAATAAAATTTGTTTTGCATTTGGAATGTTCAGTTGCTTTCCAAGAATATTTTGAGATATCGTTTTGTGTTCTTCTTGAGTATTTTTATCAAGGGGAAGTGCTTTTTGCAATACAATCAGCAAAGGAGGTTCTAAACGTGAAAAAACTTGTAAAAATTCTGACAATGGAAAAATATCAAACCTTTTAACTTTTCAGAAACTGTTGAAGGTTTGTGTGACTCCTTTCTAGATGTCGAATTTTGTTGATTAGGTTTAGCCGTCTTCTCACTAAATTTTCACATTGTTATTTTCGAACTGTTAGTTAAAAATTAAAACCTTTCCATTCCTGTATTCAATAAAGGTGGCTGATTTGATATTTGATACGTGTTGGTCTGTGGATTGTATGTCTAAAAATATCACTGCCCATTTAAAAAATAAAAAATGTAAACAAACCACATAATAAGGTAGCTCTTTTGTCAAAGTTCCTTCCTGATCGCTTCCACTAAATTAAACTCAAAATATTGCTAAATTCAATCATTTAAAACATACTTGCTCGGAGAAACTTGCTCAGGAATCTTCAGACCTCTAAGCCGACTTTTAAGCTCTGCCTTCCATTGGCGCAATTTTTCCTTGTAATTCCCATTAGTCGGTGACCATCGACGGAACGGTGTTTGTCTTAACTCTTAAAAAATTTTCTTTGCCTCAATTGGCATGAGCCCACCAGTTACACCCTGAAAATCAAAAATATTATTTTCAAAAATGAAAGTAGAGAACCTGAAGAGCATTGCCATTTTGAGAATTTTTGGAAGTCAATAACTTGGCACTTAAAAGATAATGGGAATTGAAGATGAAGAAATATTTAAAAACACAAACCGGTTGCGAGCAATGTGTTGCCTAATTAGTTGGCTGAATATATCGTCAGGAATTGTCTAGTAATTTGAAAATAACTGAGACAAAAATTCTAAGTTACCTGAAGTTTGTTTTGAGAGCGAAACGGCACTGATAAGTAATAACTAGGCCTTGTAAATTCTGTCTCGGCAAATTCGAAAGTCTGTGGCGGAGGAATCTTGTGTCTTTGCAGCGTCTCATAAGTTTCGTATTCTTCACGGTAGATGTGGTTTGAATTGGCTTCTTCCTGATGAAATTAAAGTTAAAATTTGGTAAATAATTACAAAACCTGTCCACCAGCCAGAAATACTAAAACAATCAGGAAAATGAAACAAAGAAAAATAGTTGAATTCATCATTTTGAGATCAGTTGCTTTAATCACTACATAAAATCTGATATATCTAGTAAAAAGGATTGGTCAAGGTAAATGACGAAAATGTTGTTGAAGATGAATATGTGTAAGACTCAAATGTACTAAATTTAAACGGGATAAATTGACATTAAACAGAATGCCAAAAATAAAATCGATAAAAACACGACAGGAAGATCAATAACGAAAATCAGCGAACACCCTCTACCCTCTACGGCCTTTTTCCGGTAAAACTAACCTTCACCAATGAACTTAAAAACCTTTAAAAACTAATTCCATCCATTGGAGGACATCCTGCTTTGTCCATACCATCCATACCACCGGTTGAGCTAAAACTTTCTAAAATTTCTTGAAATAAAGAAAATTGAAAAAAGACAAGGACAAAAAAGACAAGGACAAAAAAAACAAGAAAATGAAAAAAGGGAGGCTTTTCGCTCGCGTATTTTTAGCAAGCGATTTTTCTAAAAATTTTAAAGATTTACCGGGTGGCCGCACGATGCGGATCATGTAGACGAGAAAGATGTAGACGAACAACCACCACAGTGCATGGAGTAGAACCTATCTAAAAATCACCCCTCCCAGTATTAAATTTTAAGTTTTTAAATTTTTTAATAAAAAACCACACCCCAACCATAACACCACCAAGAGCATGAAGAGAGCCACCAACCACCAAAAGCACGACAACCACCAAACCACCACCACAAGCATAATTTTTAAAAAAATTAAAAAAAAAATTTTTTATTATTTTTTAAAAATTAAAAAAAATTTTTTAAACTGGCCACCAGACCACCATCACGAGGCCACCAGCATATTCTCCACAGGCCACCAAAAGAAGAACAATATATAAAAATAAAAAATTTTATTTTTAAATTAAAAAATTCAAAATAAACTAGGAAAAAACCCACCGTTTAGTTGATGCCACCAAATTCCAGCCACGGCCATTCTATACCACCATGTAGAGCACTGAGCATGCAACAGGGCCTAATAAATTAAAAAATTAAAACTTGTAAATAAAAAAAATAAAAAAAAACAAATTTAACCAGCAGCCATCCAGAAGGAGCAACTGCAGAAGTCGGAAGGGGCCTTCAATTTGAAAAAATTAGAATTTTTTAAAATAAATTTTTAAAAATTTAATTTTTGTAATTTTTGCGCGCACGCAGCAATGGGTCAACAAATAAACGAATAAAAAAACAGATGAGATAATGAAAAAATGAAAAAAAAACAAAAAAACGTAATCTCCGGAGATTAACAAAAAATGATACAAATCCAGATTTCGGAAAAAAAGTGACGCCAAAAATATTTGAACAAAATTTCCGCAACAATACAAAATTAATTTTGTTAAATTTTCATTTTGAAAAATGTTAAAGTGTCAACTATGTGTTATTTTGTCAATTACTCAAAACAATTGAAAGATCAGTCAATATCTCTAAAAAGCTTGATCTGATCCAAATTATTATTATTTAAATCAAAATGGCGATCTCTAATGAACAAATAGTTGATGCAGGAAAAGTGCTTCTCAATCAAAGGTTACTTTTTTTTATTTTCTCGTTTTTCACTTGATATTTTTAGTAATTCACTTGCTGCTCGGTTTCGTGCGCTTTTTCTCCTTAGAAATGCAAAGGATGATCAGTCTGTTGAATTAATTTGTAAATGCTTCTCTGATCCATCTGTATTATTGAAACACGAGCTTGCTTATTGTCTTGGTCAAATGCAAAATCAGACAGCCATTCGTTTGTTTTTTTTTGTTAGTTGAATTTGGAGGCTTGAATCGGGATCCTGACTTTGATTTTCTCTGGATCCAGAGCCAAGATCAAGGCATTTTTCGTTCTTGTTCTTTTTCCTTAATCTTGATTTTTTTTGTTTCTAGGCAAGATTCTGTCAAGATCCCCAACCAAAAACAAAATCAGGGTCATTTTTTTAAATTTCCGGTCTCTAGTTAACTTCAGCTTTATCTACAAGAATCAAGAACCTTGATTTTTGGACTCTTTTCCCTTAATTTCCACATAAATTTTAGCTTTTCTCATCAAAGTCCTCGAGGACGAAAGCCAAGAACCTATGTTTCGGCATGAAGCTGGAGAGGCACTTGCCGCTATAGGGGATCTTGACAACAAATTTGGTGTAGCAGAGATTTTGAAAAAATATTCCAATGATCCTGTTGTTGAGGTTGCTGAAACTTGTCAATTGGCCATTGAAATGATTTTATGGAGGAAATCTAATGGAAATATGCCGAGAAGCCAGTATGATTCTATCGGTTAAAACTTTTAATTTTTTTGGTTTCACTTTTAGTATTTTTCCAGATCCTGCTCCTCCACTTGATGACGAGAACAAAACTGTGGATGAATTGGTGTCCATTTTATTGAACCAAGAAAATGTATTTTTAAATTTATTTTTTATAAAATTAATTTTTAGACGCTCTGGGAACGTTATAGAGCATTGTTTGCTCTCAGAAACTTGAACACTGATGCCGCGACAAAGGCGATTTCTAAAGGTTTGTGAAACGAATTTTTGACTAAAATAAGTTTTAAAATTTAGGACTTTTTTCGGAAGACAGTGCTCTTTTTAGACATGAAGTTGCTTATGTTCTAGGCCAAATTCAATCTCCAGTGGTTATTTCTGAGTTGAAAGAACGTCTTTCTTTACTTAATGAGAGTGGAATGGTTAGACACGAGTGTGCGGAAGCTTTGGGGTCTATTGGTACGGAAGAATGTCGGCAGATTTTGGTGGAGTTTTTGAAGGATAAAGAGGTAGATTTTGTTTGATTTTTAAATTTTTTGAAGAATCAGTGTCCCTGGTTTCTAAAATTGAGGTGGATCTGGATCCAGGCCTTGTTTCTCCTACGAAATTAAGCAAATTTCTTGACAAAATTTTCCGTGGCGAAATTTTTTTAAATTTTCCTAAAATTCTAATTTTATAGAGAGTTGTTCGTGAAAGTTGTGAAGTTGCCTTAAATATTGCTGCTGGTGAAGATGTTTTTGAGAATGTTCTATAAAATTAAATTTATTTTTTTGTTTGTTTTTAATGTATAATTTGTTGAATTATTTAATAAAATTAATTTTAATAATTCTTATTTTGTGTTATTTATAAGGTTAGATCTTCGATTAATATTTTTTATTAAAATGAATCATTTTAATTTTTAGATTTTTTAGATATTTTTCCGCATGAAAGGAAGCATTATATTTAGAGGGAAGGGAAGAATCTCGCCTTGTAAGAATTTTTTAGATTTCTTTTGATTTTTGAATTTCCCTTCTTTAGTTTTCAAATGCTTACAATTTGCGACGTACAAAACTGTGACGTCTACTGATTTGGTTTCTTTTTTAAATTTTTCTTTTAATTTTCGTTAAAATTTTTGTATACGGTCTCCTTTTTTCTCTTCAAGTTTTTTCTTATGAATTTATAAAACGGTCAGACTTCCTTTTTTCTTACTTTCAAATAATGAGAATAACTCCTATTTTGGTACTTATTTCCTTCTCCTCCCCCAGATCGCGATTTAGTTGAAGTACGAAATGGTCAGTCATTTTTTCCTTGCATAAGTGTTAGTAACAAAAAAGTGAATTTCGAATAAGGAAAGGAAGTCTGATCATTCTGTACATCCATAAGAAAAAACAAAAAACTTGGAGAGGAAAATGGGGTCCATAAACGACAATTTTACCAAAATCTTTTTAGTCCCAATTTGGAAACAACGATTTGGGTCGTCTCTATAGTGTAACCGAGGACCATGCAAAATCGCTTTCTTTTGACCTTGTTCTTCCCAAAGACTTTAGAGCGTTAAGTTCAACACTTCAAGAATATGTTTGGATGTTTAGACAGCAAACACTTGAGGTTTTTCGTTTTTATTTAAATATTATTTTGTCTTTTAAGGCCTTTAAATGCCTCCAAAAATTTGAAAATGGACAAGATACCCAACGCCTTTTACTTTGGGGTAATTGGGGAACTGGAAAGACGATAACACTTTGTCAACTTGCCCATTTGGCATTAAATCAAAATTTTGTTATTGTGACTATTCCTGATGGTAATTTCAATTTTCTTGAGTTGGAAATGTTTTTGGGTTAATATCCAATCCAAAAGAGAATTTTTATCCTTCTATATTTTGGAAATTTCTTGTTCTGGTCAGCCATCCGCTATTGGCCTTAAATTTTGATTTTTTTGGAAGGAAAAATTTTTTTATTGACCTCTCCACTGACCTACCCAATGAGTAGGTTTGAAAACCCTTCTCCCTCTCCATATTTGAAAAATATTTTTTAAACAACCATCCACTATTGGCCTTAAATTCTGATTTCTCCTTGGCCTCTCTCCACTGACCTACTCAAAACGGGAAAGGTTTGAACCTCTTACTGAAATTACCTTTAGGTTTATACTTTCCCGTTTGCTACAAATCTTCTTTCTTTAATTTTCAAAATTTTTAGCAATGGCATGGGGGCGAGATAATTACTACGAAGTAGAGGTTTCCAGCTACAAGACTGGTCGATTAAATTCTCCCCATTGGGCAACCAAACTGTAAGGGATTTTTAAAAGGTTTTAATCAAAATACATTTTTAGATTGAATTTATTTAAACAACAAAATCAACATAATTGGAGCAAACTTTCTGTAAATATTTTTTAATTATTTTGCAAAAAATTTTTTAGAATTTAAAAGCAACAAAGAAATATGAATGGAGTCAAATGGAACAAACAGAAATTGGAAAACCGATTACTGAAATTGTTGAAATTGTTTGTTTAAATTTTTTAAGGGGGGAAAATTTATGAAAAAAAAATTGGAGGGGGGGGGATTTGAGGGTAAATTTTGAGAAAAATTTTTAGAGGGGGGGGGGGAGATTTTTGAAAAAAATTTTTAGAAGGGGAGAATTAAAAAAATTTTTTTTTAATTTTAAGGGTTTGTCTGCCCCTTATTTGGCTACTGATTGTCTTGGAGCGCTTTTTAAAGAATTGAGAATACACGCAACCAGTGGAGAAATTAAACTTTTGGTATTAATAGATAAAGCTAATGGACTTTTTGGAAAATGTGTTGTTCGAAGGCCTGACAGGACAACCGTTGGATTTTTTAAAAATTTTTCAAATATAAAAAAAAATTTCTAGGCAGATATTGATGAGCTCACCCTAACTATCCAAATTCGCAAGTTTTTATTCTCAAGCTGGTCAAATGGCCTATGTGCGTTTGTCGCTGATAAGGCTGAAGCTTCAAATGCTCGAGATAATGTTACTATTGTTCCTACTGATCCGGAAGCGTTGTTTGGAGATTTGGTTTTTTTTCAATTTAGGGGAGATTTAGGGAAAATTGGGAATATTTTGGGGTTTTCACCCTTCCCCACCTTTCTATTTTGTTCTCTTTTTATGGAAAATTATCACTCAAAAGAGCTCTTCGAGCTGAGTTTTCATGAGGATTCAGCTCCATAATTTTGTTTAGAATCATCAAGTATGACCGGCCTTTGGTATCATTCGACCCAGCTCGAGGAGTTCTTTCAATCTCCTCGAGCTGGAAGGAGCTCCAATATTCAGCAAAAAAGCTAAAAAATGGTCGGGAACAGGGAAAAAACGGGTGGGGATAAACCAAAGTATTACAAAAAAATTTCTATTCTTTTTAAGAATTATGAGAAGCTAAAACCGTTTATATCATTAAAAACAAATTTGTATTCGGAAGAAGAAATAAATGTGATGCATGAATATTTTTTGGAAAAGAATTGGCTTAGGCAAGAAAAAGGATTACCTGGGGAAGAAGCAAAGAAACAATTAATATTTCTTAGCGCTTTTAATCCTGCTTATTATGAGAAAATTTGCGCAATGTCTTGGAATTTACAATGTGTTCCTCCTACACCTGTTAATCTTTAAAAAAAGTTGTTTTTGTTAATTTTATAAAAATATTTTGATGTAAAATCAGAAAAGTAGGTAAACATTTGTAGCTAAAACTAAATTTCAAAGTGTTCGCATAGGGTGGCGTTTAATTTTTGCTAAAAATAGATCCCGTATTAATACTAAAAAGTTGTTTTTGCTACAAACATTCCAATATTTTTTTAAAATTTGACATGGAAGCACGGAAAATGCAATTAAATTTATTTTTTTACACAAAGTAGTGAAGAGCAGGGATGAAACGGGGTTAAGAAAAAGTAGGATCGTTCGGGTTTTAAACATTTCTTCGGGCTGAGTTTCTGATCGAGAAAATGTGTGGGTGTATCGGGTAACCCGTCCCATGCCTGCTGAAGATGCACGAATTAGACCTGAAAGATTTCGCACTTATCATTGGTATTCTCATAAGGGTCAGAAAAATAAATCAGTTTTCAATTCGCGTTAAGGGCATGCGGAAAATGCAGTTAAGGGAAGAAGCTTTCCAATCTTTCAGAATTTATCTAATTCAAAATTAATAAAACCCCAAAATGTTAAAAATTCTCTCTATGTAATAGTAACACTTGAAATTCCACTACTACTCATTGATGATGAGGAAGACGCGCGAGTTAGTGGCCTTGTCCTCTCAGCTAATCCTGGATCAGATTCTTCCTTTTCTTCCAACAATTTTCGCTCCAAGATGATATGACCTTTAAAAATAAGGAAAGAATTTTAGAAGAAAATAAGGTGTAATAATTACGTTTATTGGTCCTAGTTTTCCTTCTTTCAAGTTGCATAATGGTTAGAAAGGGGATCAATAATATATATGGTCAGAAGTAGAGATCGAGCAGTGTCTGGACCAAGGCCTGGGTTTTTCCTAGATTACAGGCCCAGGTCAATGAATCAAACCCAGAACTTAGGAACAGGCCCAGGCTTTTCAAAAGTCTCGTTCTCTAGTCAGAAGGAACCAGACGGGCATAATGGGCAGATCCTGAAGAGTATAAAGGTCTAAAGGAACCTTCAAGAAGAACAAGTGAATCAAAGAAAGAGCCAATAAACCCAACTATTACCAAAATTAAAAACCTTCTTTATAACTCTGTTGTGGCTCATGAGCAAATTCGTACATCCATCCAAGTTTATGGTTGCAATTTTTACAGAAGACGTCACGTACAATATGTTGCCCAGTAAGCATAAAGCGGGCCTCAGCCTGTTGGGGTTTTTTAATTAAAAATTTAGAAAAATCAATTACCTTTGACGTAGTAATGTTTACAACCGTTCTGAATAAATAAGCCTGCCCAGTAGATCCTTAAAAAAGTAAAAATCTGTACTTTGTCGTAATACCAATCCCCAGATATGCCGAAATACCAAACCCCTTCCCAGCGACTCCAGCTTGGTATTTTGGCAACTTTTGAGGGGCGGGATTAAATCCGCTCCCGGTTAAAACTTCAAAAATTAAAAAAAACCTCTAAATGTATGAGAAACTATCTCCTTTTTGTTTGAAAGATAAGTCTTGCAACGGCAACACATGTAAAATTTTCTGCCTCCCATATGTTCTAGAAATGGACGTCCCATATTTTTTCTTGATAAGAGTTGAGTAAGAGCAGGTTAATAAAAAATGGAAAATTTTTAAAAAAATTTTGAAATTCAGATAAAAAATATTTTCATGGCAAATGACCAGGAAAGGAGAAAAAAAAATTTTTGAAAAAAATTTTAACAACTCAAAAATTTATTTTCTTACGAATAAAAATATATTTTTAAATTAAAGATATTATACTCTTCTAACAATATTCACATTTCCTTCTTTTCCTCCTCACTTTTTAATTCTTCTTCTTTAGGTGCTGAAGGTTCTGGATGTGTCGGCACTTTTATAGGACATGTTGGATAGAGAATTGAATCAAACCAAATCTTCCACCGTTCTGGAACAAACCGCAAAATGAATGGCTGCACAAATTTGAGGTAAATTGCAAGAAGGAAAGGCAGAAAGATGCACGGGACGCAAACCATTTGACAATTTAAAAAATCTGGTAAAAAAATTTTTTTAATTTTTAAAATTTTTTGGGAAAATTTTTAGTCAAAAAATTTTTCAAATTAAAAAAATATAAAAGGCATCAAGCCAAGTCAATCATAAATTTAAAAAAAAATTTTTTAACAAATTAAAATTTATTTTTAAAAAATTAAGAAGTGGTTTAAGTAATAGCAACAAGTAAACTCTAAGACAGCCTTTTAGGCTTAACAACAATATGAACAAAATTGTCGGGATAAGACATATTCCTGGCTATCCATCCACTAAAAATTGAACTTTTTAAAGGTAAATAAACCAAAAAACAAACACTGAAGAGTCAAGCGGAAGGTCAATTCCATGCGAAATAACTTCAAATTTTTGATCAACAAATGGACAATGCTCTGGAAAGGCTTTTTCTAGAACCTCAATTAATGTACTAGACGAAGAGTTGTTTGTCGAATCATCTTTTTTAATTAGAGGAAAACAAGTTTGGCGAAAAGGAAATGAAGGCTTAAAAAGAAAGGTAAAATTTTTTTATTAATATCAGTGCCCTGCAAAATAATTTTCTGGTACACAATCGGTATTGTGTGCCTGATCCAGCCTGATTTTTTCGAGACAGGATCACAGACCGGATTAATCCAGATTAATCCATACTGGCCTCTTTCAGGCATAAACAGAAAAATTATCAGATCCGGCTGTATTTCCGGATCGAACTATCCAGAAAAATCCGTCAGGATCCGTTTCGAAATGATTACAAAATCCAATTTCTGGATCCGAAAAAATATTTTTTCGGACACTGAATAATACTTAAAAAGCTTACAAAATAAAATCTGAAAGGAACATTAGCCATTTGAACATCTACAGGATCCGATTTACTTCCCATTAATTTTTTATTTATTGACCAAAATTCATCAAATTTATCTAGAAAAATCAAAAAAAAATTTAAACATATAAGAATTAAAAAAACCATTTTTAATGCTGTCAAAAAGACGGACGTGTTCTTCTTTTGTCATTGTAGACACGATATTTCGTTTGTGTTTAATTTGACTGGCCTCTTTAAGAGATTGTATAAACATAAATTTTAGAGAATCTTTAGATAAACATCGAACAAGTTCGTCTGGAAAATCCTGTAAAATTTTTTAACATTGAAAATAGGGCCTTGTCAAAAAACCAGTGCTTGGAGACTCGTACTTGATACAAATAAGAATACGAAACCAAAAACATTGGGAGGTACAGGTCAGGTATTTCAAGAGGTAGAAAACGGAGGGTTCGGTTCGTGTATTTATCGGTCGTTTTTTCTGAATATTTGGACTTTTTTCGGATATCCTATCAGTCAAGTTTAATGAAAATGTACTTAATCAGCGGTTAAAAATGTTCGCTTATGCTGTACTCGCATCTTCCATATTTTCCCGTGCTCTTATTTAGTATCAAGTACTGCTAAAAACTCCTAAAAAATTAACCTTTAATCGAACAGTAACAACCCACGGAAGATTTTGGTCGTTTCCTCTATACATATCATAAAGTACTCCAATAGGATAATGCCTAACTGATTTAAAGAAAATTTATTTTAAAAATTAAATTAAAAAATAAACCATCTAATCATTTCTTCACCATTATTAAGTAACCAAACATTGGAAAGATCAATTTCTGTCAACGCATTTCCTGTCAGAGTATGAAGAATTTCTTCCAAATAAAATGGAAAATAGCTTATACGTGGCAGCATTATCTTTAAAAAAATTTTTTATGAAAATTGGAAACGGGTTTCGGGTTCATAACTATAGCCTAAACGGGTCCGGCTGGATTTTTCTAGAGTAATCCGGACCAGAAGAAATCCCAAATTCTTTTCGGAATCCGGAAAAATCCGTCCAGATTCGGTCCGTCACTGGCCTGTTAATTAAGACTTACAAAAGTTGATTGTTGAGCTCGTAAAATAGGTTGTGATGAGTCCAAATTAAATTCTACAGGGATTCTGCTTTCCCAAATTGTCCTTCTAATTTCATAATCATCCTCAGTTGAATTCATACTAACTTAATTTATTTCACTAAAAATTTAAAAATTCAAATTTTATTCAAAGCTTTGGGCGTTAATCAAAAAAATTTTTGCATAATCCGTCCCACTTTTAAGTCAGCTGAGAAATAAAAATCATAAAAATGTTCAGTTCTCATATTATGCCACACACATATTTTGCCAATCAAGCTAAAAATCCACATTTTGCCAATAAGGCTGCGTTGACAAAACGAAAGTTTTTAGCCTTATTGGCAAAATATGTAAATATGTCATTGGCAGAATATGTAGTCATAAAAATAAAAATCCTATAAAAGTTCTGGTTAGAGATAATGGCATGTCAGTCAGACTAAAAAAGAATAAGTAAATTAGAGAAAAAGAGTTATAAACACTTTGCCAAATAAATAAATATTTAATTAAAATTCAAAATTAAAATTTCGTTTCCTTAAATTCCGTTTTCCTTATTTAGACGCGCTAATTCACTTTCCACTCCGGAAACGGAAACTTTCCGGAAAAATCTGTCCGGTTTAATTCCGGCGCTCGAACAAAACATTTGCTTTTGAGAGACAATATTAATAAATAAAATTGAGGGGTTATCCTTTATTATTTTTTAATTTAAAGGCTTGCGTAGGTTGAAGTATCCCAAATCTTTTTAAAAGGTCGAAAGTTTTCTCTTTCTTTTTTAATCCTTTTTATAATAAAATTGTTTTTTTTGTCCCTTTCAAGTGTCCAAAATTGAATTTTACTTTTATTTTATTTTTCCTTTACTAAACCTTTTTCTCTTTAAGGTTGATGCTTTTACTAAAAAATAAATGCACAGTTCATCTTCAACAAATTCCAACAAAACTTACCGGAGAGAATGGCCAACACATTCATCCTCAACCCTTCGGTCAAACACCTCGACTTCTTTATTTTTTTACTACAATGGAGGACAAAGGAGAAGGTCTAGGCCGTTTACTTATGGTTTTGGTGTTGGCGGGGGAAGAAAACGCAAAGGATTGGAAAAGTAAATTTTATTTATTTTTTAAAGATTAAAGTATTGGTTTTCTTAAAACCCACTGAAAATCCGATTTATATTTAATTTTTTGTGGGAAAGGAAAAAAATCCTCGGGAAATGCCAAAAATGCCCTTTTTTGTCTCAATTGCCAAAAAATTTTTTTATATTTTTAACTCCCCAGGATTTCCAAAAAAATTTTTTTTAATTTTTCTAATCCCAAACATTACTAACAATAAAAATATTATATTTTTTTACCCAGAAAAAGAAATTTTTTCTACCCTAAAAATAAAAAAAATTTTTTTTGATTTTTTACCTCCAAAAATTTCAGAAAAATTTTTTAAGTTCTATTTTCCTTAAAAACCAATAATAAAATAAATGTCTTCCTGTTGCCCTTCTTTTTCCAGTTGGATCCGTTGCTTGACTGTTTTTGCCTATTTTATACTTGTTTCTTCGCCTGCTTTTTTGTTCAGTTTTTATTATACACAAATTTGGGATCCTACTTATATTAATGAGGTTAATTTTTGAATTTTTTAAACTCAAATTTGAATTTTTATAGAAAATTTATACTCGCTTCGATAATGGAACTTTGGTACTTAAACAAGGAATAATTGGAACTTTTGGATGGACTGGACAGAGGAATGGGTCTAATGTTCGGAAAGGTATATCTTGGTCATTTTAAATTATTTTGTGGGTAAACCTGAATTATTGAGGATTGAATTTAAGAGAAGTAACTAGGGGAAGTCACCTCCTTCTCCTCTACCAAACCCAAAAAAATGAAAAAATATGAGGTGTAACATCTTCCACTGACCCAAGGGAGAATGAGAGATTTCCTTTTCCTCCTCCCTCTGTTTAACCCAAGAGATTGAAAAACTCTTGGCGTTGTTGAAAAATAAATTCCTAAAGGTTGCTTGTATTCTCGTAAAAATTAATATTTGCTCTAAATCGGGTCTATAAATTTCCAAGATTTCTTGGGTTAAACCCTCTCGAAATATTCTAAATTTATTTATTTTATTTTATCAATTTTAGGCGGAAGTTGACACTTCTTCGAATTGATTTTAAGAATCATTGTCAGAGAAGCTTGATGAATATTTTGATGGACCTTTTCTTGATGATCTCTTTTCTTGAAATTTTTTGATCAACTTCTTTTTCCAAGTTATTTTTTAATTTTTTTTCTTATTTTTATTTGTTCGTGGAACGTAAAAATAATTTTATTTTTATTTTATTTTTTTATTTAAAACAAAGGGGAAAGGAAAAAAATTGCAAAAAAAAATTTATTTTCAGGGTCATTAAGCATTCCTTCTTTCGCTTAATTTCTTTCATTTTCTCCAATTAATTTTAGCCTTTGCCCGATCAATCACTTTTGTGCGCACAAGTTTTGCGAACATTATAACTTTAATTCTCCAAAAACACGTAACCTAACAAACAAAAATTTTTCTTTTTTCCTTTTTTTAAATTTATTTTTGTTTATTTTCTGTATAAAACGGTTGGGGAATTTATTTTGAATTTTTTCTAAAAAGATTTTTTTATTTGTTTTAATAAACAAAAAAATATTTTTTAAATGAATTTTCTTCAAAATTTTTTTCTTTCACTTATTGTGTTGATTTTGCCTCTACTTGTCGTCTGCCGTGTTGAAGATCGTAAGTTATCCTAACCTTAATTTTTGAAAAGAAAAATTTTTTTATTTTAAGGTTATGATTTGAGTTTGTTGCCTTGGGATTTGCGTCCAGGTTTTTAAAAATTTCAAGAAAATTTTTGCAATTTAAAAAAAAATTTTCCAGTTTTTCAAAAATTTTTTGAAAAAAATTTCAAAAATTTTCAAAATTTTTTTAAATTTCAAAAAGTTTCCTTTCCATTTTTAAGTCCAACAATTCATCGGTCTGTGGCAAAAGGAGCGCCACACGGGATTTTTCAAGGACTTGCCCCCTCCAGATTTAATCGACTTTGCCATCAATCCAATACCTAAATTTGGTGCAAGAACCATCAACTTCACGTATTTTTAAAAAATGTTTTCACTTATTTTTTATTTTTTTAGTCATACTTATTTTGATGCTGAAAAGAAGGTAATACGGTCGGACTATGGCTTTATGCCCGTCAAAAATGCAACTCAAAGAGATCCAAGAGTGCATGTTGCCTATTTGACTACGAGCAGTGAAGGTTAATTTTAGGAGATTTTTTAAATGGGTGTGGTTCTCTCAATCGGGTGGTACACTTTCAAAGGCAAAGAAGAAGTTGTGGGAACTTGCACTTAAACCTGTGTGGCTCTAGCAGCTATAGACGTTCCTCTTGGTAGGATTTTCATCTTATAACTGACGGTCCTCATACCGGACAACTTTCCTCCTGACCGGACCTTCTTCCTGCCTGGATTCTTTTCCTGTCAGACGCTCTTCCAATAAACAAAAAATATTTTATTCCTTAAGGTTGGTCAATGATGGAACAAGGCTTCTTCAAAGACGGCAAATTAATATTCCACTTGAAACAATTTTTGAGACGCACCTTTGGTGTTGGAACAAAAGGCTCGGAGTTGGATATACGCGAGGTACTTTAAAAATTAAAAAGCCATAAGATTCTAAAAAATTTCGAAAAATTAAAGTTTGAACGTCAATTTGAATTGCATGATTTCCACTCCATGGAATTAAAAATAAGGGCTGAAACATCAGTACAAACAGAATCTTATGTTGCTTATTATAGAAAAATTCTTTTTTAAATAATAAAAATTTGGGGAAGGGAAAATTTTAAAAAAATTTTGAAATTTTTTTAAAATTTTTAAAAAATTTTTTAACCTTTATTTTTCTTCAAAATTTGCAAAATTTTATATGAAAAATTACTGAAAAAATTTTAAGAAACATTTTTTTGTTTATTTACAAAGAAACACATTGAAAGGGCAGTAATTACGTATTTCTCTCTTTTCTTCTCATTTTCTTTTCTTTTTCATCCAATCCCTCCAATCCCACCCAATCCATTTAATCCGTTTAAACCGCCAACACCGCCAGGAATAATTCCATTACCTCCTAGAGGCAACCTGCCTTTAAAAATTTTAAATTTTTAAAATTAAATTTAAAAAAGAATCCACCAATCCCTCGTTGAGCGCCTCCAAGTAATCCTCCTCTACACGCGCCACAGGTCCGTGCACAACGAGTAATCATACAAAGCTGTAATTTGTAAATTAAACTTCATTTTAATATAGACCCCTCGGGGTTGAGGAATTATAATGGTGGTATTTTAAATATGAGGGGTATCGTATAGGCAGTTTCCCACCCTACTTATATCCTTCTTAATCTCTCCAAATCCGTCTTACTGACTCAACTCGAAACCCAAACTTTTTCTGACTCGAAATCCGATCGGAAGCAATCCTGGAAACCCGACTTGATATTTTTTTCAGCCCGTCCCCACTCAGGGGCTAGCCAAATTTTAAAAACGTTTATTAATTGGAGTATAGTATTGAATTTAATTTGGGGTCCAATATTAATATAAAAATAATTTTTAAATTTCCTTATTAATTTCCTGTCTGTATATAATCCTCGGATATTGTTCGGATATCCGTATATTCGCTCAATTTCTTTCATTTTTTGTTTGTCTAATCTGCCATTATTTTTTAAAATTAATTTTTCTAAATCTCGATTTTTTAATAAAAATCCCTTCTTTTTTTTTCCATTCTCTAAATTCATTTTACCCCATTTTATTATTTAATTACCCTATAAATAGGCACAACACAATAGGCTACATAAGAGAAGCAATTTAAAGCTGTATCAAAGCAAATTCCACCAAAACCGCCCCCAAATCCGCCAAACCCTCCAGGTATTAATCCACCAGGTATTAAGCCTCCAAAACCTCCAATTCCAGGTGCAAAGCCAAATCCATTCCCTCCAAACCCTCCAAACCCTCCAAATCCATATATGGAAATTAGGTCTTGTGGATAAATAATAGGCCCAAGACGAGCAGCTAAAGGACGTTGATCACGACAGCAAGAACCTCTTAAACACTGCAAACGACTGAGCAAACAAAATTTATTTTTTAAAATTTTTTTGACGCTTACTGACATGAAAGGGCGGCAATGAAGGTTGGCAAGGAGTTCCAAAGCCGCAGACTAAGAGAAAAAAATCAAAATTGATAAAAATAGAAGGACCAGGGGTCTGATAACCCTGGAGATCGATCTGGATCCAGAACAAGGATGGGCTGTCTTTCACCTTTAGCATTCTAATACCCCTAGAAAATTTTTTAAAAATTTTTTAAATATACTTACGTCCACCCCAAACAAATCCAATAGGACAAACAGCCGATTGAGTGTTTACTAATCGGGGGAAATTAAGAAAAATAATTAAAATAAGCGGTTTAAGGGTTATTAATTTGGTGGTCATCTTGGGGAATGTTTTTAATTTTTTAAATTTTTGACTTGGAATTTTTTTATTTTTTTAAACGATTTTTTTAAATTAATTTGTCATTTAAAATTCATTAAAATGAAGCGAGAAAATTATTTTTTATTTTTTTTTTCTAATGAAGCTGTCAATTTTGCCCTTTCCTCTCCCTTTATTCACACTGTTTGAGGCTTTGTAAATATTATTTTTAGTCAATTTTCATTTTTAAATGCTTCTACTGCTTTTTCTCTATTTAAAAATACCTTCCCTTTCTCTCACTTTCCTTTATTAAACACCCAAAAAATTATTTTTCAAATTTCCGTTTTATTGTTTAAAATTTTTTTTTATTTTCCAAAATTATTGATTTTTGTTTTAAACACAATTTTTGATAGTTCATCTGGATTTTTGTTAGAAATTGGGAGGGAAATTTTGAGAAAAAAAATTTTTGGATAATTAAAAGATAAGGGAAGATAACTAGGTTCAGGCTCTTGCCTTGTCCACTATACACCTTAAAAAATCGTCCGCTATACAAAGTTGTCTCCCTTTACGGTTACTCTTATAAAATCGAACCTCACTTTTGTGTGTACTCGGTGCTTATAAATCGTGCTATAAAGAGGTGAACTACACAATAAAGTGGGATTTCTTCAACTTTGTTCCAACAGATCACCGGAGAGAAAAGAAATACTTGAGCGTTGATATTTTGGAGTAACGTAAACGTGTCAAAAAAATTTTTTTAAAATTAACCCAGCTCTAAAAATAAATTTATAGGAACCTAAAAAGCGGTTTATTTCTAAGTATATTAAATCACGTATTTTTTGGAAAACGCAAAATTTTCAAGAATTTTTTGAAAATTTTTTTAAATTTTTTAGCTTGATATTTAACTCTATTTTTAATTTTTTTTTCCAATTTTAGGCTATTATTTTATTTTTGTATTTTATTATATTTTTTTAATTCATTTTTAAATTTATTTTTTCTGTTCTTTATTTAGAAATTTTAATATATTTTACTTGGTATTTTAAATTTTTTAAACCATTTTTAAATCATTTTTTATTTTAAATTGTATTTAATTTTATTTTTTACGTCATTTAATGAGTGTATTAATTTTCGTAAATTTTTTGAAAAAAATTTTTTTAAGAAAGTTGCTACTAAAACTGTCACGATTTTTAATTTTTTTAAATTTTTTGAATTTTGCCAGACATTTTTACTTTTTTTTTTAAATTTTTATTTGTAGTAGTCTTACTCATTTAAAGTAATTAAAAATTTTTTTTATTTCCTCTATTTTCTGCAAATTTTTTTCTGATATTTTTTGTACTTTTTTTCTGCAATTAACTCCTTTCTAAAAAAAATTTTCTTTCTACCCTAAATTTTTTAGTCATTTTATAATTTATTTTTCTTCTTTAAAGTCTCCCTTTTCTGTAAAATACTTCCTTTTTTGGGGATATTTAGAGGGTGACTTTCCTCTCCTTTTCTTTGTGGTTTTAATGACAGTTTGTTTGATATATCTTCTTTCTTCTCTTTCATCTGTCTCTTTCTTCCGGTTGCGTGTTGGGGTGATTATTAGCTTTATAAACTAGAGGATTTTTGGTGGAGATTTAAAGGGATAATTCCAAAAGATCGAAACGATCGTTGGCGGGTCTATCGTTGTCATTGACTCTTTCTCTTTCTTTGTCGTCTACTTCGAATAAAAAAATAACCGTCCGGCCCTCCGGCAATATTTTAGTTGGGACATTTCTTCCGGATATCCGAACCCTTCCAATACCCTTTACTCCAAAATGAGAGATAATTTTTTTATATTTTATTAGTAAATTGAAAAAAAGGGTGTAATTGTTGTGTGTGGTCTTTTGGGGGATATTAAAAATAGTAAAAATAATTGTGTGGTTGCTTTTGGGTTAAAAAAAATATTAATTAATTACTTAGTTAATTAGAGAGTAAAGTGGTTGGTTGGTTGGTCTGTATATCCGGAGTTAATGTTAATAAATAAATCTTTTTTTATAAATAAATTCTACTATAAATCCAATCCCTTTTTTATTTTTTTTTGAGTAAATAATATATTAAATTAACGCCTTTATTTTTCAAAAAAGGGGGGAAAGTGTGAAAAACTGAGAAAATATACGTAATTTCATTTAAAAAATGCCAATATTACTGGCCAAGTCTCCTTGCGTGAATAATAAAAAATAGAAAGAAAAGCTGTCAAAGCTTTCAATCAATGTTGTTTCTTACTTAAAAGGTGGACTAGCTAGTAGCTATTAAAGCAGGGGGTGTGCCGTTTCGTCTTTCGCCGAATTTCGTGTTTCGTCTTTTTTGTTTCGTCTTTCGATTTTTAAATTATTTCGTCTTTTGTCCTACGCTTTTTAAAATCTTGGAAAAGGCTAGTGTGTTAGGGATATAGACGTCACATCCCCGAGATTCTCAAGAAAACTTTTTAACAAAGAAAAAAGGTGGCACGTAAAGGTGAATAGACAACAAAAAATTTTTTAAAGGAAAAAATTCCTTCTTTAAAAATCTATTTAAATAAAATTTTACCCTATTAAGGCTAGTAACTCTCGGTCCTTCTTCTCAGTCCTTTTTATTTTTTTTAAAGTTTGCCGACGCTAATAGGCAGTTTCTTTTTCCCTCAGCTTCCCCCTTAGCTTTCATCATTTTCCCATCTCAGCTTCCCCTCCACAGCTTCCCGTTGCCCGTTGCCATCTCAAAAAAAATATTATTTTTTCTCTATTTTTTCTCTATTTTCATTATTTTTCACTCATTTCTGCCCCAAACACAAACACACAAAGTGGCTGCAATTATTTCCTGCAGAAAAGAAAAAAAAAGAAAAATATATCCTCCCTTTAAATAAATATTCTTTTTTTTGCCAGTCAATCCTCCCCTCATTTTGCCAGTCTTGTCTAAAATTTTTTTTCTTTCTCCATATCCAAACAATATCCATTTACTATATAATTTATTTTTTAATGTAAAAAAGTCTTTTTTGGACAACAATTTTTTATTTTTATTTTTTTCAAGTCTGGGACCAAATGTCATCCTTTGTAATTAAAATTTTTTTTAAGTTTTTTAAAATTTTAAAATTTTTTTTTTATAAAATCTCTTTGAATGTTGGTACTATGAAAAATTATTTTTAGTGTAGTTTTTGGAGAATTTTTATTTTTATATTTTATATTTTAAAGGCTGGGATCAATTGTCACCTTCCAAATTTTTTTAATTTTTAGTATTTTTTTAATTTCTAAAATATGCCTGTACCATTCAAAATTATTTTTAATTTATTTTTTAATTTTAGACTTTTTTAAAATTATTCTAAATTAATTTTAAAGTTTGGGATCAATTGTCATCCTTTTAAATTTTTTTTTAATTTTTTCATTTTCTAAAATTTCCCAAAAAATGCCCGTCTTCAAAAAACCATCAACTAAAAAAGAATCTGAAACAACAGCAGTGGACGATTTTGGAGCAAATCAATCAGTCAAAGTATTGGATTCTCGTCTTTGTATGGATTGTTATAGGTTTGGATTTTTTAAAAATTAATTTTAATTTTTTGGGGTGAGGGAGGGAAAAACCACCGTCCTACCAAAATACCGTTCAGACATTATACAGTAATAAATTCGACTTCGACCTAGGGGAAACGAGCAGTGGATAATCCTGCAGATAATAAATCTGTCATTCCTACCCTAACAAATAGGCTATCTAACCTAATGACACGCAAACTTTTTACTTTTTGTGTGGAGGGTTAAAAGAGATATCGAGTGATTTGGGAGATTAGGGGGATATAGAGGGATTTGGCGGGATTTTAAGAGGTTATCGCGGGATTTGGAAGATTAAGGGTACATCGGTGGATTTGCCGGATTCTGAGGGATTCGGCGGAATATCAGGGGATTTTGAGACATATCAGGGGATTTAGGGACGGTGCTTTTTACTCTAATCTGTAGACGCTATATATTTTTATTTTTTCAGAGATTTCTATACAGTAAAGAATTATTGGAAAACAGTAGTAAGACGGTGGAAAGAAGCTTGTGGCCTTTTCATGCATAGGTAAATATTTATTTAAGAAAAAATAATAATTAAATACCTCTCTCTCTCAACCTAACATTTAAAGAAAATAAGGGGAAAAAGGCACACTTTTCTATAAATATTATTTTTACATAAAGCTCTGCTTGTTGTCTCAAAATTGTAGTTAAGCGGCGCGCATATTAAATAAAATAAAAAAATTTTTTCCGCTCTCTATTTTGCCTTCATTTCCCTCAAATTTCCCTCAAATTTTGCCTTCAATTCCCTTCAATTTTTTACCTTTCATTTAACTGTTGAGGGAGCAGTTACCCCGCCGACATTCTTCTTGAGAGGCTGACAATACTCTTGAGAAGAGGGAAGGGGTTCAATTTTCATAAACAATTTCTTTCATATTTCTGTTATTTTTTTTTATTTTTTTAATTGTCTTTTTACGTCAATTAATATCTTAAAATGGATGTTGAGAAAATCTTTAAAAAAATTTTTTGACCTAATACGTTTTTATTGGGTTTTGCATTAAAAAAGCTGTCGGGAAAATACTCAAAAATCTAAAAAATTCCCAAAAAAATTTTTTTGTACTAGAAGTTTTCTGTATTTCTTTCTTTCATAAAGGACGAAGTATCTTTACTCGTCAAAAACAAAATTTCCCAAAAAAAATTTTTTTTCGGGAGCTGATTTTTAAAAAATTCAAGAGGGGGAGTATTTTTAGATTTTTTGGCTTCATTTTTGCTTAAATTTAAATTTGACTTTGAATCAAATTTTTTTATTTTAGTTCTATAAATTATTTAAAACATTAAAGACCTTTAGTCTAAATTTAATATGACTAGATTTCCGTCTCGACTTCGTTAAAAAAAATTTTCTTTATAATTTAAATACCCAATTAATTCTTTTTTTTTGAAAGTTAATCCATCAATTCTAATTATTTAATTAATTTTAATATTATTTTACTAGAGAAAATTATTTTTTTAAATAATTGGACATAAAGCTCTTTTATTTTATTTAATTTTCACTTTTCTACACATTCACCTTTTTTTTGCCTTCTATTATCTTCTACAAAAATTATTTTCCCTAATTAAAAAAATTTTTTTCTAATTGAAAAAAATTCTTCCGGCCTAGAAAAAATTTTCAACCCCTAAAAAATAATTTTAAAAAATTTCTTCCCCCTACAAAAATTTTTTGACCCCTAAAAAATTTTTTCCACCGCCTAAAAAATGGGAAGTGGGGCAAGTAAAAATAATACAAGCACAACAATAGCTAATAATAATAATCAACAATTAAATAATGGGACAACAAGCAGTGAAAAAGAATCCGTAAAAGTAGATTCAAGATTGCCTTTTAATGAATTTAGAGAATTATTTACATTAAAAAATTATTGGAAAACAATTAGAAGAAATGATAGTTTATGTGCTAAAAATATGTTATACAAGTAGGGAAAAGGGGGTTTTTTGAAAGAAAAAAAATTTTTTTGGAGGGAAAATATTTTTTTGAAAGAAAAGGGAATAAGGAAGTAAATTTTAGTGGGAATAGTAGCAAGGCGTTTGAAATAAATTAAATTTAGGAAAATTTTTTTAGAAAACAAAAGAATTGTTTTGTTGTTATTAAATTAAGAAATAAGGAAGGGACTTTATTTAGTGTTAAAAAAGACTTGATTTATCGAAGAAAATTTGGTTCTGCTTAACATTTTTCAGTTCAGAATTTTCAAAATTTATATCTTCCTCCGATTCTTCAATCAAAAAAGTCAAAAATTTTCAGTCAAACGTTCGGTCAAAAAAATTCTGGAACCTTCAAGTTTGGAGAGTCTAAGCTTAAATAAGAGCGCCCCTGAGGATCGATCGAAATCTAGATACCTCAAAAAAATTGTCAGTCCCAATAACCTCGATTTTTGAAAGAGTTTTGAATGGGTTGTTGTCTTGGTCGATGATTTTCTACTAGAAACTTGTTATAGAAAACCTCCCTCAAAGACTCAAAAAAAATTTTTTTTTCAATTTAAAATTTAGTATATTTTTTTCCAGATATTTAAAAATGTGTCCAGAAGCAAAATCAAAATACCCAAAATTGGCATCATTGGATATCACCTCTCCAGAATGTTCAGACCCGGCATTTGAAGGAATGGCTTCAAACTATTTAAAAGTTTTTGATGAAGTTATAACTTCAGTAGAACAAACGCCTGCAGATGCTTCTAGTGCTTGTCAAAGGCTTAATTCTGTTGGAAAAATGCATAGAAATAAGGTTTTGAAATTTTTTGGGGTTTAAAAAATTTGGAAATTTTTTGAAATTTTTGAGAATTTCGAAAAACATTCTGGGGGGTTTTAAAATTTTTTTTGAAATTTTCTGAAATTCTTTGAAGATTTTGAAGCCAGAAAAAAATTTTTTTAAGCCAGAAAAATTTTTTGGCTTCAAAAATTTTTTCGAAATTTTTGAAAATTTTTTAAAGATAATTTAATTAAATAATTTATAGGTGAATGGAATGAAGTTTGATGATTTTCAACAATTGGAAGCGCCTTTTTTGTAAGACAAATTACTTTTTAAATTTTGAATAAAAAATAAATTTTTAAGGTTTATGATAAGTGAAGTACTTCAGGATAGGTATAAAATTTTTTTTTTAATTTTTTTAGAATTATTTTGGTGATTTTTGAAGGGGTTTTTCGCTAAAAAGTCCAAATTCTTCATAGAAAAAAATTAAAAAATTTTTTCGGAATTTTTCTGGGAATTTTTAAAAAATTTTTTGGTCATTTTTGAGTGGTTTTCTGTCACTAGAAATTTTTTAAGAATTTTTAAAGAATTGTAAAAATTTCCAAAAAAATTTTTCTGGCAATTTTCGATGAGTTTTTCGCTAAAAATGGGCGAATTCTCCTTGGAAAAATTTCTTAATTTTTTAAAAATTTGTAAAAAAATTTTCAAAAATTTTAAAGATATAACGAGAAAGCAGAAATGTTGTTCAAAAAATTCTTTCAATTTTGCCTTCGTTTTATTCTAGAAGGTTTCAATTCATGAAGAAAAACTCACTCCAAAGCAAATATTTTATCTCTCAAAAATTTCTCTGTTTTTTTCCTATTAAATTTTTTTGTACAAAATATTTTTTATGTCTGTACTTATGTATAAATAATTTTGAAAATTTCAAAAAAAATTTTTTTTTGAAAATTTTTCGAAAAAAAAGGTTGAAAGTTCTTAAAGAATCACCTTATAATCTCTCCCATAATCTGTTTATTTTCAAATATTTAATTTGCGCAAAAATTAAATTGATGTGCAATAGTTTCGAAACGAAAATTAGTTTTATGTGTAGTTAGAGAAAGAGAGAAATAGTGATATATAAAGTAAAATGTGTATAAAGACGTGTCCGGACAAAATATCGAATCGTTAAAATATGGAATAGGCTAAAAAAGGGTTAAAATCTCGAATCGGGTAAAAAGGGGTTAAAATCGCGAATAGGCTAAAAAGGGGTTAAAATGTGGAATCGTTAAAATATGGAATGGTTAAAATATCGAATAGGCTAAAAAAAGGTTAAAATATGGAATCGTCAAAATATCGAATTGATAAAATGTCGACACGGCAAAAAACGATCAAAATGTCGAATTTTTTAAAAATGGCGCCAAAACTAGAATCCGGGCGTTACCGTAATACCGACGGTATTTTTCGATATTCCGTGTCGATTGTACGGTACGGTATCCGACCGATAAAATTTAAAAGCTGATCGGTATTTTTCGGTATTTCGTGCCGTATACGGTAAGATCAAACTTTAGGTCTTAACTAAAAACTAATGTACACCACTCTAATTTTTCCATATCAGGATCGCGTTATGTTTTCCGGATCCGTACGATCATGCCGGACCGGATCCGGTCGATTATGCTTGATTTATCCGGTCCGGTTTTACTCGGTAAAATACAATAAACTCTGGCAGAAAAGATTGCGCCGGACTACGACATAAGAGACTTATCAATCAACTTATCATCAATAAGTTGATAAGTTGATATAATCATCTACAATCAACGTATGGCACTCATCTGACCCTTTTTTAAAAGAATTCGACATTTTGACCGATTTTGGCCGTGTCGACATTTTTACCATTCCATATTTTAACGATTCCATATTTTAACCCTTTTTTACCCGATTCGATATTTTAACGTTTCCATATTTTAACGATTCGGTATTTTAACCCCTTTTTAGCCTATTCGCGATTTTAACCATTCCATATTTTAACGATTCCATATTTTGTACCGGAGCCTATAAAGAAAAAGAGAAAAAATGACTTGAGTCTGGAAAGTTCTATTGATTTTTATTCGACATTGACGTCATTTTTTCTTTTGTTTTCCTTGTACCGCTCAAAGGCTTTTAGGATTTGACTAAAAGGGCGCGCGGCAATAACGGCGCAAACCAATAACTTGCTCGGAACTTTCTGGGCTTTAATAATTTTGATACCAATCTCTTTAGACTGATAAGAGGATTCGTTTAATACTTAATTTGGTAAGATTCGGAAATCCTGAAGCAAGTTATTGCTCTGCGCCGTTATCGCCTCGCGCCCTTTTGGGTCTTTTTTGGGCTGTCCCTGTTTTCCTTCTTTTTGTCCCTTTATTTTTCTTCATTTTTCTACTTTTAGAAATGTCTAATGTTTATTTTGAAGATCTTTTTACTGTCAAAAACGTCGATCCGGATGGAAAGAAGTTTGACCGTGTTAGCAGATTGTTCTGTGACTCCGAATCGTTTAAAATGGTTTCTTTTTAAATTTTATTATGATTTACTAGTTTTTGCTTGTAGGATCTGATTTTGGATGTCAACACTCAACTATACCAGCTTGGTATCAACGACAAGTTTCGTCTTATGCTGTGCTCGTCAATGCGCGATGATGGTCTTACAGATGAAGGAGAATATGATAAAACGGTGAGAATTGAATAACGGTCCTTTTCCTGGGGAAAATTAGCTTTGAAGAACAAAAATCGGCCTATCCGCAGGTCTTGCTGTTAATCAGTTATCCACAGGTCTTCAGCTATCCTCAGGTGCAGTTGAAGTGGTCCTCAAAGTTGTGACCACTCTGAAGTGGTCATATTTCATGTGTAGTCATTATTCGCTCCAAACATTGCTTGGGTTCGAGACCGGCGAGACTTGGGTTCGAGACCCTCATTATAAACTAAAAAGTGCCAACAAGCTAATGGGCCCATGATGGAAAGGGAAAATGTTGGTGGAGGTGTGCAACACATCACCAACAACAGCTTCCTAACCCGTTAAATAGTAACGTTGCTCATAAAATCGTAATCAGTTATCCTCAGGGTTGCAGAACACTTGCAAAAGTTTTTGTTTTCAAAGGGGTTGCTGTGCTTGATGGCTCTATTCATATTTTTCTTAATAGTCCTTGTTCAATGAATTTATATTTAGGTCTGGGGTCTTCGATTTAATCTACCCTCATTCCCCTTCATTATCTTATCTTAATACTTTTCTTATTTTAAGATTGAAAACGTCCCTCGTGTTCGTATGTTTGAATATGTAATGTATGGAAAAATCTACAGAATTGAGGGGGATGAATACAACACAGAAACTAGCCGTCTAGCTGCTTATGTTTCGTTTGGAGGACTTTTAATGAGAATTCAAGGAGAGGCAAACAATTTAAATGGATTTGAAGCAGACAAGAATATTTATTTGTTGATTAAAAAGGTTCCGAATTGAATGAATTTTTGAGTTTTCTAAAATTTTTGTTTTAAATAAATTATTTACTTATTTTCTTTGATGTTGAAAGTTTGGTTTTTACCAATTTTTACTTATTTTGTGAATTACAGATTTTGAGAAATTTTTTGGGAAGAAATGTCTTCTGGATTGCTTAACGAGGCTTATGTAGGTAAAACAGGGGTACTTTTTGGATATACCCTAGCCCTCTTCCATATTTGAGTATCAGCTATTCCTTCACATCGTTTGTTTTCCTCAAGCAATCTAATTAAATGAAATGTAAACTGAGGGTGGGTGTATCCAAAAAGCACCAAAGCAAGAGAGGACAAGTCTTTAAATTCTTGTTTTTTTTAGATTGAGACAATTGAAAAATTACTGAAGGAAATGAACAAAGGAGTTTGTAGCAAAAATTTATTGGAAGAATGTCCTGAATTGGGAGAGAAGATTATTGAAAATGAGAAGCTGAAATACAGATTAAATATTTTGAAAAGGGTTTGGTTTTGATTTTTTAGCTTTTTAAATTTAAAATTTAGTCGGCTGAACAAAGCAATGGAGTGGAAGAAAAGAAGGCACCAGAACCTCCTCAAAAAATTGCAAAAGAAGTTACTAAACATTTTGAAGTTGTGGATTATGGAGATTCTATTATTGAGAAGTTGAACAATCTTTTTACGAATGTTATTAAAAAGGTTGGGAAAATTTTTTATTTTTGAGGGGTTGGTAAATGTGTAAAGGTTCATAAAGAATGAAAGGGTTATGGGGATAAAAATTGTTTTCCGTTAAAAGGAGTCGAATCATGCTCATTCTATCGCAGTTAAGTGGGCAATATCCCACTACACCAAAGAGGCAGCTTTTTGCTTTTGCTGCGCATTCTTTTGGCTCAGGAATCTTATAAAAAAATTAATTCCCGCTAAGGGGTTCAAACCTCACTTGTTCACAGCCATCACATCAGCAATTCCCACTACACCAAAAAGGCAATTTTTTCGTATTGTCTCATATTCTGTTTGATTACTAAACGGGGAGGGGAGAGGGCTAGAAATAACGTCTAAAGAATATTTTTATGACGTCTAACGCAAAAAATTTTTTTAGTCTTTCCCAAGCTGGTCTCAACCTGTTAATATTAAAGAAACCTTCAATCCAAAATATGGCGATTATCAGTTTGACTCCTGTTTTCAAATTTCTCGTCATTTAATTACTGAAAAGAAAATGAAAACTTCTCCAAAAGATATTGCAGCAGAAATTATTATTAATTTGGAGATGATTCCTTTGGTTGAAAAGGTTTTTAAATTAATTTTTGAATATCAAAAAAATTATTTTTTCAAGTATGACAACGTTAATGGTTACATAAACATCTTTTTGAACACCAAACATTTGGGAAAGAAAATAGGAGAGGCTTGTGCTAAGGTTCCTTTTGATTTTTTTTAAAGTAAAAAAATTTTTCTTTAGGGTGTTTCAATCCCAAAAATTTCAAAAAGGCATGTGGTTGTTGATTATTCTTCTCCAAATATTGCAAAACAAATGCATGTTGGCCATCTTCGTTCAACTATAATTGGGGATTCTATTGCTCGTTTACTTGAATTTATTGGATTTTCGGTTTGATTTTCTCTTTGTGTGAGAAAAATTTTTTTTGTTTATTTTTTAGATTGTGCGTATTAATCATATAGGTGATTGGGGAACCCAATTTGGAATGCTTATTGCTTATTTACGTGAACGTTTTCCAAATTATTTGACTGAAAAGCCTAAAATTGAAGATCTTCAAACTTTTTATAAGGTTTAATTTTTGACTTTTTTTTTGAGATCTTTTAATTTGAATACATTTTAGGAATCTAAAACAAAATTTGATGAAGATGGAGATTTTAAATCTCGTGCTTATCAATGCGTGGTCAAACTACAAAATGGTGAAAAAGAATTTATTGATGCGTGGAATATGATTTGTGATATTAGTCGAAAAGGTATTTTTTGATTTTGATGCTATTGATGGAGCTAGTTCTTTTTTGGGATGTGTTGAAGAATTCTTCGGTTATCCATTTTAGTGGTTCTATCTCCATCCAGTAGTTCTCAATTTTTCTGAATATTTGTTCAAGAAAAATTGAGAATTAATCTAGTAATCAGATCCCATCTTTTTGTATCAAACGCCGAAGATTGTCATTAAGGAGGGAAAGGTTCGAAAAGGGAGGGATAGGTGTTTGGAACAACCTTTCCTCTTCCATTTCAAGTCTTATTTTAAAATTTCTTTTTCCGACAAACGAAAAGTAGAAAAAAAATATTTTTGTTTGTTTGGGAGAGTTTTTCTACGTTTAGAAATGTTAAACGCTTTTAATTTTTTTAATTTTCATTCCTCTTTTTTCAGAATTTGAGAATATTTACAAACGTTTGGATGTTTTAAATTTGGTAGAAAGAGGAGAATCCTTTTACCAATCAAGAATGTTATCTTTAGTCAAAGAATTAGACAATGAAGGGATTTTAAAAGAAGAAGATGGACGAAAATTAATGTTTATCGATGGATGTAATATTCCTTTAACTGTTGTTAAAAGTGATGGAGGATTTACTTATGATACAAGTGACCTGGCTACAATAAAGCAAAGATTATTTGAAGAAAAGGCTGATTGGATTTTGTATATTGTTGATAGAGGACAGTCTGAACATTTGGAGGTTTTTAAAAATTTTTTGGTGCCTGTGGGTTATCCCAAAACGGTTTGTGGACATGTTTATGTTCGGGCTCATAATGTTCAGATATAAACACTCATATTGTTAGATATCACTTCCTCGAATGCATTGACTGAAAAAATGTAAGTATGGAGCTCTGACCATTATGAGACCATTATGATTATTAGTCCTCATAAATATAATCGCAATGACTTGTTTGGTGTAACCCACAAGTGCCTTGTTTTAATTTAATAATTTTTTTATTTTTAAAGACGATTTATGCAGCTGCTCAAAAATTAAATTGGTATGATCCTAATGAGAAGAGAGTTGAACATGTGCAATTTGGACTTGTTTTGGGAGAAGACAAGTTTGTTTTTTTCTAAATTTGATGTATTTTAATAAATTCCTTTTTAGAAAGAAATTCAAAACTCGATCTGGCGATACAGTCAAACTTTTGGATTTGTTGGATGAAGGTGTTAGAAGAGCTGAGGAGAAATTACGATCGAGGGAAACGGTTGGTTTTATTTTTCTGGATTTAATTGTGGGGACTTTAGCTTGAAACTGGGGACTCTTGGTTGAAAGTAGAATCATTTTGATTAGCGTTCATATAGTTGATGGTGTTGGGGTTGCGATTCCTTTTAGAAATCCAAGTTCGATTAAAAGCAGCAAAGTTTTGAGAAGGAATTGTCAATGGTTGGCTTGGTTATTAAGTTGAAGTTCAATAACAACTAGTGTTATATGAACGGTTGTTTTTCTGGTGATTTTTGCATTTTCACCGTTTTGGCTTTCATGGTTCTTTCCCTTATTAGTTGGACTTGTTTTGGGAGAAGAGTGTTATATGAACGGTTGTTTTGGGGATGAACGGTTGTTTTTCTGGTGATTTTTGCATTTTCACCGTTTTGGCTTTCATGGTTCTTTCCCTTATTAGTGCCCATTGATAAGCAGACTTTATTTGGTTCATATAATTATAAAAAATTTATTTTAAGAATTTTGAATCTGATGAACAATTAATTGAAGCAGCAGAATCTTTAGCTTATGGATGTATTAAATACGCTGATTTGTCTCAATCAAGAATTGCTGATTATGTTTTTTCTTTTGATAGGGTTTCATTTTAATTTCTTTTAAATTAATTATTATTATTTTATAGATGCTTGATGATCGTGGAAATACAGCAGTTTATCTTCTTTATGCTTATACACGTATAAGGTTTGTGAATTAATTGATTTGGGGTAATTTTATATTTGTTTTTTAAAGAGCAATAGCCAGAAATGCCAAAGTTGAACGAACTACAATTAACAATTATTTGGCTCAACTTGAAGATGGTATTCCTTTAGAACATCCAAGAGAAATCCGATTGGCTAAACAAATTCTAAAGTTCTCGGATTGTATATTAAACACAGTTACAACTCTACATATTAGCAAAATTTGTGATTATGTGTATGAATTGGCAACACTTTTTCACGACTTTTATAAAGAATGCTACGTTATTAACAAAACAAATACTGAAGGTTTTTTTTAATTTTCTGAGTTATTTAACTATTTTAAAAAATATTTTTTAGATGGGACAGAGCAAATCAACATTAATTACAATCGACTTGTTTTATGCGAAGTTGTTGCAGATGTTATGCAACAATGCTTCTCAATATTAGGAATTAAACCAATTGATAGGATGTGAAGAAAATATTTTTAAATGATTATTGTTATTGTTTTTTTTTGTGTTAAGGTGAACGAAAGAATGTTTATTCCCCAAAGAATACACTTAAGTTTTTTATGTGTAAAATTCTGCGAGGGATTTCCATTTAAGCGTTATTTCTTCAGAAAGTTAATCCCTCGTTAGATATTTCAATTAGTTTACACTTTGAAATGCCTTGAGTGACTGAACCGACCTCAACCCTTTAACTGTTTAGCGTCTCTTTATTTCCCACACTCTTTCTGCATTTATTGATTTTACTCGGCAGACATTGTTTAGACATGAAAAACATGTACTGGTTAGAGAAAAATAATTAATTTTTCTGACACAGAGTAGTGAAAATGCTTTTCTCTGACCGCTACATGTTTTGTGTGTTGTTACTTCATGTGTTCTCATATCCAATTAAAAACTAGAAATCCATAAATCGGTTTTAAAACCGCTATATCTTTTTACCATTTAAGAATATTTGTTTAAGAATTCAAAAATCTGCGGTGTTTGGCATAATGCAAAATATTAAGATTAAATGACACTTCATCCCAAAAATCAATAATCGATTTTTGATGTTTCATTTGGAGTCCTCTGTTGTTCATCTTTACCAAAGATGTTCTAAACAGAATGCGTGGCTTTTCCTTTTTTGGGGGTTAACCTTTTTAGGGGGGAGGAAAGTATCGAGTTGCGGACAAGACTTGCAATTTTTCAATTTTTGAAAAATGTATCCAATTTTTTCAGTGCTTCAACAGCAGCAGCAACAAACAACTTCAACAGCAGCAGCAGCAACAAACAACTTCAACAGCAGCAGCAACAACAAAAGTCCCAATGTATCGCTTCGGCGGTATATGGGCAAAAGTCCCAATGTATCGCTTCGGCGGTATATGGGCAAAAGTCCCAATGTATCGCTTCGGCGGTATATGGGCAAAAGTCCCAATGTATCGCTTCGGCGGTATATGGGCAAAAGTCCCAATGTATCGCTTCGGCGGTATATGGGCAAAAGTCCCAATGTATCGCTTCGGCGGTATATGGGCAACCCAATGTATCGCTTCGGCGGTATATGGGCAAAAGTCCCAATGTATCGCTTCGGCGGTATATGGGCAAAAGTCCCAATGTATCGCTTCGGCGGTATATGGGCAAAAGTCCCAATGTATCGCTTCGGCGGTATATGGGCAACCCAATGTATCGCTTCGGCGGTATATGGGCAAAAGTCCCAATGTATCGCTTCGGCGGTATATGGGCAAAAGTCCCAATGTATCGCTTCGGCGGTATATGGGCAAAAGTCCCAATGTATCGCTTCGGCGGTATATGGGCAAAAGTTTAAACTCCAATGCTCTCGTCTACATGGTTAGCTTTTTTACTTTATTAAATTTGCAAGTTTTGTCCGCAAGGTTTCTCCCCTAAATAAGTTTATCCTTCCTTAATGTTAAAGCCAATTAAACGGTGGCCAAGTTCTTGTCAAATGAGAAGACGTATAGCGGATGTTTCATTGATTAGTTGCAATGATTTGTTTGTTTTGAATTGTTGATCTTTTGATAGGTTGTTTTTATTTTTAAGAGTTTTTCAATTACTTAATTTTCAGCTTTGACAAAGTATCCAGAAGCCTTGGAAGCTTTTAAGAGGTTATTTTTAATTGTTTACTATGGTTTTAAGATTATTTTTTAGGCAGGTGGATTGTTGCGGAAAGACTCTTTTTGATGAGAATGCTTTGGAAGAATAAGAATCAACAGAAAAATGACTGAAGAGCCGCAATCTTTTGTTAGAATAGCAGCAAATTAGGTTTGAAGATTAATTTATTTGTCTGATTATTTGGTTTCCACAATTTTTCGTTTATCAATTCCTACCCCACCCACCCCCATCCCTGGCTACGGGCTTGGAGTTGTTGAGGGTTTTGGTGGCCTACCAGATTTCACGATTATACAAGGTTCAAAAGAGCTCGTCGAGCTGACTTGAGCGGGGGAAGAAGGGGACGTACAGGGACCGAGTTTTATAGACTCCTGAAAACACGATTGATTTTGGGATGAAAAATTCGAAAATGCAAATAATAGCCACAGGGATCTTTTTATTCTCAAGATCGAACCAAATAAACCTTCCTTTTCTTTTTAAGATTTCCAAGCTTAGGGGTTTGCAAACAGCATAAATTCCAGACATATTTATTTCTTTAACGATTTATTTTTTCAATTTAAAGAACGTATAGTCAAGAGCAAATGGTCAAACATGGACAAGAATTGGCCGCCCACAAAGACAAACACATCATCTGATCATTGAGCAATAAAGAAGCAATGGAATTGCAAAAGAAGGAAGTGATTGGGAAAGGAAACGAAAACAGTTTTTTTTAATTTTTTTTTTGTTGAATTAGATACAGTCGAAATACCAATCAAACCATCGTAATCGACATTTTCTCAAAAATGAAAAGAAAATCGGACTAATTGACAAAATCCTAATTTTGACTGTATTACTTACAATTATTTTGTTTATATAATTTTGTTTGTTTTTAGCCAAATTTTTATTTTGAATAAATAAAAATGAATTTGTTGTTGTTGAATTGCCATTTTTTATTATATTTTATCGAGGACTTTAAATTTAAATCGACTTCTATAAGAATTTAACTGGAATACCTTCATCAAATTCCAAAAAGCCATTTCTCATGTTATCAGACTCTTGTATTCCTTTTGTGTTGAGAACTACTCTTACTCCTTTTTAAAGTAAGGTGGAATGTAGCAAGTAGAGAAAGTAAATGTTTGAGGGAGTTGAGAAGTTGGGATGTAATGTTAAAAATAAATGACATTTTGTCCCAAGAGTTAGAGAAATCCTATAAAACAAATAGTGTAGCCAGAGAAAAAAATAAATATCAAATGTTTAGGTCGGTTCAGTGCTGAATTCAGAAAGTGCGAAGTTACTGTATCTGAAATCTAATTTTAGCAAATTGTTTTGAATTAAAAAAAATCTCTTATGTTTGTTTATTTTTGGTTATCCATCGAACTCTATAAACATATAGTATAGTATATTAAATATTGACGAAAATCAATATATTATTGACGGATATCAAAATAGAATATCCTCCCGTATATAAATTATTCTTTTGTTTATAAAGACAACAGGGAGTGCCCCGAAAATGTCCCAATGAATTAAACCTCCAAAATTGTCTCATCACGAAGATGTCCCACTGTAATTGAATGTTAAAGCCCAAAAATAAACAAACATAAAAATTTTTTTAAATTCAAAACAATTTAAAAAAAATTATATTTCAAATACAGTAACTTCCCACTCTCTGAATTCAGCACTGAACCGGCTTAAACATTTGATATTTATTTTTTTCTCTAGCTACACTATTTGTTTTAAGAATTTCTCTAACTCATGGGATAAGGTGTCATTTATATTTAACATTACATCCCAACTTTACAACTATCTCAAACATTTTCTTTCTCTAGTCGCTACATTCCAACTTGCTTTAAAAAGTAGTAAGAGAGTTCTTTACACTAAAAGGAATACTAGAGTCTGATAATATGAAAAATGGCCTCTTTAATTTAATAAGGGTATTCAAGAAAAGACAATTAAATTCTTCTAGAGGTCGATTCGATAAATGACAATTTATCAACAACAAACTCGAGTTTATTTATTCAAACAAAAATTTGGGCAAAAACCAGAAAAAATATATAAAACACGCAAATTGTAATACAGTCGAAATTAGGATTTTGACAATTAAACAGTAAATTTTCTTTTTTTTTGAGAAAATGCTGAAGATTTTCCAATAGTTTAATTGGTATTTCGACTGTATCTAATTAAACAAAAAAATTTAAAAAAACTATGTTTTCGTTTCCTTTCCCAATCACTTCCTTCTTTTGCAATTCCATTGCTTCTTTATTGCTCAATGATCAGATGTTGTGTTTGTCTTTGTAGGCGGCCAATTCTTGTCCGTGTTTGACCATTTGTTCCTCGTCTATACGTTCTTTAAACTGAAAAAATAAATCGTTAACGAAACAAAAATGTCTGGAATTTATGTTGTTTGCAAACCCCTAAGCTTGGAAATCTTAAAAAGAAAAGGAAGATTTCATCCCAAAATCGATCGTGTTTTCATGGTCTATAAAACTCGGTCCCTGTACGTCCATATGCCTTCTTCCCCCGCTCAAGTCAGCTCGACGAGCTCTTTTGAACCTTGTATAATCGTGAAATCTGGTGGGCCAACAAAACCCTCGATAACTCACAATACCAAAGGGAAGCAACTAGACGGAGATTTAAACATCCATAAGGGATTCCTCAAATTAGCAAGTTCCAAAAAGGGACAAAACTTGAAAAATATAACCAATTATGGAAACCTAATAATCAAATTAATCAATTAATTTGCAAACCTAATTTTCTGAATTCTAACAAGAGATTGCGGCTCTTCAGTCATCTTTTCTGCTGATTCTTGTTCTTCTAAAGCATACTCATCAAATAGATTGCCTTCGCGCAACAATTCACCGGCCTAAAAAATAATCTTGAAACCATAGAAATAATTAAAAAATAACCTCTTAAAAGCTTCCAAGGCTTCTGGATACTTTGTCAAAGCTGAAAATTAAGTAATTAAAAATCCTTTAAACATAAAAACAACCTATCAAAAGATCAACCATTCAAAACAAGCAAATCAAAGCATCTAACCAATGGAACATTTGCTGTACGTCTTCTCGTTTGACAAGAACTTGACCACCATTTAATTGGCTTTAACATTGGGAACGGATAAACTTATTTAAGGGAGAAACTTTGCGGACAAAACTTGCGAATTTAATAAAGTAAAAAAGCTAACCTCCGAAGAGACCACAGCAGCATTTGTGCCCAGCGATCTCCGAAGAGACCACTTGAGCGTTTGTGCCCAGCTATCTCCGAAGAGACAACTTGAGCTGGTGTGCCCAGCGATCTCCGAAGAGACCACTTGAGCGTTTGTGCCCAGCTATCTCCGAAGAGACAACTTGAGCTGGTGTGCCCAGCGATCTCCGAAGAGACCACTTGAGCTGGGGTGCCCAGCGATCTCCGAAGAGACCACTTGAGCTGGGGTGCCCAGCGATCTCCGAAGAGACCACTTGAGCTGGTGTGCCCAGCGATCTCCGAAGAGACCACTTGAGCTGGTGTGCCCAGCGATCTCCGAAGAGACCACTTGAGCTGGTGTGCCCAGCGATCTCCGAAGAGACCACTTGAGCTGGTGTGCCCAGCGATCTCCGAAGAGACCACTTGAGCTGGGGTGCCCAGCGATCTCCGAAGAGACCACTTGAGCTGGTGTGCCCAGCGATCTCCGAAGAGACCACTTGAGCTGGTGTGCCCAGCGATCTCCGAAGAGACCACTTGAGCTGGTGTGCCCAGCGATCTCCGAAGAGACCACTTGAGCTGGTGTGCCCAGCGATCTCCGAAGAGACCACTTGAGCTGGTGTGCCCAGCGATCTCCGAAGAGACCACTTGAGCTGGGGTGCCCAGCGATCTCCGAAGAGACCACTTGAGCTTTTGTGCCCAGCGATCTCCGAAGAGACCACTTGAGCTGGTGTGCCCAGCTATCTCCGAAGAGACAACTTGAGCTTTTGTTGTGTTGCTGTTGAAGTACTGAAAAAAAAATGTTTACATTTTTTTAAAAATTATAAAAAGCAAGTCTTGTCCGCAAGTCATTACAACCCCCCACCCTTCAAAAAGTTAATCCCCAAAAAAAGGAAAAGCCCTGCATTCTGTTGTAGAAATCTTTGCTGGACAACAGAGGAGAATCAATAACCCTGAAAATCAATAATCACGGAATGCCAAAATAATCGCCAACGAGTATTATTTAAAAATTTACTTTATTTCTCTGGAAAACACTATCTCGCGAAGAACTTCAAAATGTAAACTCAAGGCATTTCAAAGTGTAAACTAATTAAAATATCTAAAGAGGGATAAACTTTCAGAATAAATAATGCTTTAAACATTTCTTACGCGGAAATCGTATTGTGCCTAAATTGTGAAGAATTCTCTAAAAGTAGAGAATGGTGGTGTGAAAAACATGTGTAAAAAATGGGACACGTCCAAGTAGGCGCGCGGCCATAACGGCGCAAAAGTCATAACTTGCTGGAAAATTTCTGGCCCTTAACAATTTTGGTACTAAACTCTTTAACTCGATGAGAGGAATAGTTTAATACTAAATTTGACAAGATTCGGAAATCTTGAAGCAAGTTATGGCTTTGCGGAGTTATGGCCGCGCGCCTACTTGGGCTGTACCCTAAAAAACATTTTAAAATATTCACCGTCATTAAACGGATAATAAAAAATTCCCAAACAAAACCAACAAAAATAATAATTAAAACAATTCTTTTATAAAAAAATCCAATCAAAAAAATATAAATTAACCTAACATATCCCTTTTCCTCCCTCTCATTCGAACTTCTTCCAGTCTCAAAAGAACATTTTCAGCATCTTTTCCTCCTTCTTTATAAGCCTGTAAAGCTTTGTTCAATAACAATTCCATTCCAATATGAGCACTTTAAAAGAATTTTTAATCTTTATTTAATTTTAATTAATTTTTAAAAACCTTTTTATTGCTCTTTCCAAAACATACAAATCAACAGCTTTGTCTTCTGGTTTTTGTGAAAATTGTGAAAGGCCAAAATCGATAAAGATTAGGTCGAGGTTGTCATCTTGCTAAATAAAAAATTTTTGTTAGAAAATAATTTTGTATATATTTCCTAAATTAGAAGGAAAAGTTAGTCTTAGAGAACGGAAATTAAAAAAAAAAACTGAAGATTTTGGTTGTGGACCGTGACTAGATTCTTGCCCTTGAGGTAAAAAAGAATCAAGAAACACTGAAAATGCTTAGAGATTGTTGGACTACGAATCCAGGAAAAATCAAGGTTTGGACCCCTAGATCCAAGCCAATCTCTAGTTTAGTCTTCATCTACCCGTCAAAAAAATTTTCTATTGATGGGATTCGAACCCATATCCACAGAAAATAGTCAAACCCAAGACATGGTGTTCGAAAATTAACCTAAATTGATTCATTAAACGGGATAAAAAATTTTTTTTAATAATTTAATAACAAACCTTTTTAACCAAAACATTTGAAGTAGTCAAGTCACCATGAATAAGGCCAGCTGAGTGCATATTTTGAATTATTGAGCCAAGTTTATGTCCAAATTGTGAAGAAATTTTCTTTAAAAATTCAAAGTTTGAATACTTTAAAAAATAAAAAAAACCTCAAATTCTGCCTTGTCTGATTGTCGTTGTAATTTATCCAAAAAAAATTTTCCAGAGGGGGCACTTTAAAAATTAAAAATAATTTATAAAAAATTTAAAAAGAAACCTTTCATTATTTCCGCAAACAATTCTTTCATAAATAATTAAATTTTTGGAAGAATCAATAAAATAAATTGAAGGTACAAGAATACCAATCTATTTAAAAAAAATAAAAATTAATTTAGAAACATTTAAAGTTGAAAAAAGAGTTATTAGAATATTTTCTGAACGAAAGAAAAATGATCTTCATACGTGGGATTCGAACCCTCGACCACTAGACAGAAATACCAGAACCCTAACCGTTACGCCACGGAATTAATTAATGGAAAATGAAATTTTGTGACTATAATTTGAAGTGAATAAAGGGAAATTATCAATTATACATGAAGAACAAGGAAACCCTACAAACAAAATTTAATAAAAATAAAATCCAAAAAAAAAGAAAAAAACAAACCTCTTGACATTTAAGTATTGCTTTTATTTCTGTCTTCATTCTTTCCTTAGTTAATCTCATATCCAATTCAGGATGTCGATACTTCTTTTCAAAACGTTCTTTAATTAATGCTGGCTTGTTTAAATATAAACATGAAAATAATTTAGCTTCTGCTCCTTGATATAAAAGTTGTTTTTGATTGGAATTGTATAAGTCTTTGGAATATTCAATTGATCCATTAATTAATTGTTGGTTTTGTTCGTTATCTAAATTTTAAAAAATGATCGATTTGAAAGAATAGAAAATCAGATTCTCTGAATGTAGAAGACTAAGTCAGTTCGCAAAAAAAATTTGGGGAAAGATGAGGTTACAGAGAAATCAAGAAACGGAGACCAAATTTTCAAAGGATAATACAAACCGAAACAGCGTTTCAGGGGAGTTGACGTGTTCAAGGATTCGTGTAAAGGGTAGCCCCAAAACTTAAATAAAATTAAAAAAAACCTTTATCATCATCACAAGAAGAATCTTCCGCTTCCTCATCATCAATATCACTTGGAGGAAAACAATCATCAGTCAAATTCTTTTTGTTCTCAATTTCCTGATCAATTTTAGCTATCAATTCAGTCTGTTTTTTGATTATATCAGCAGCAGAAGAACACTGAAAAAATTAATTTAAATTTAAAATGTCCTTTAAACTTCAAAGAAACCTCAGAATACAAATTAAAAGCTTCCACATTCAATTCAAAAAAGTTTTTTCCCCACTTGAACGGCCTTAATAAATTGACGGCCGCTTCCTTTTGTCCAATTAAATATAAACCAGCAGCTAATGCTTCAGCACAATTTAATTTACAAGGAGTTCCATAATTGACTGGATTTGATGCTAACAGAAAAGGAAGTAAACGTTGTTCTGAAGCCTATAAATAAAATACCTGATGAAAAAACGGAAATGTGATAAGACTGAAGAAAAATCAGCAGATAAATTCCCAGGAACCTGTGGTGGGACTTTCAGGTAAAAACCGCCCAAGGATTCGTGTAAAGGGCATCCCGAGAGACCCATGAAAGTCAAAAGACCTCCTAAACTTTCAGAAAAAACTTCAAAAAAAAACCTTGGCTCGATGAAAAGCAGTTTTGTCTAATTGATTCCAAGAGCAATCAACCACAGCCAAACCTTTGGACAAAATTGTTTTGGAGTCTGATGGAGATAATGTTGAGGTGGCTGTTGGTGTTAATAAAATTCCAGGAAAGCGTTGTCCAATTTTTTGTTGTCGAATAAATCCAAGTCTGCATAGTTTACGTCCAGAACATCTTTTTGGATCACATTGGCCAAAATCAAACATTGCAAGAATACAAGGCATTTTCTTTGGCTAGAAAAAATAAAATTTTGTAAAAGCTTTGTTAGGTAATTAAAAAAGAAAATTATTTGGGAAAAGTTTAAAAAAATTTTTAAACTTTTTACGCGTTCAAAGGATGAATAAAAAACGATTATCTCACGGTGGGATTCGAACCCACACCCATTCAGTAGTCAAGACAAGAACCTAACCGACTGGACTACCGAGCAACTTATTCACTTTTCAATTTTATTGACTAACAGTTGACTATAAAATTTAATCTAAACCTTATCTTCCACAGCATCATCACCAGAACTTTCAGAAGAATCTATGCTTGTCATCTTTTTTGCCTGTAAATAAAAATTAATTTATGAATGAAATAATAAAAAATATTAATTGAAAATAACAAATAAAAAATACTAGAAATACCAAGAAAATTTATTTTAAAAAATCCAAAAAAAATGTTTAAGTGTAAATCAAATCAATCTCTTTCAGGACTTCTTTGTTCCGTTTTAATTCGAAGTTCTGATTTAACCGATGATTCTTTTTCTCTTCTTCGACTTGGAGACGATCGATGACGTGATGATCTTGAATCTCTATCATCCTTTAAAAAATAATTTTGTTAAAAATTTTCAAAAGGAAGGTAATAATGTTGTTCGTTCCAGGGATAAGCCCTTCCACGTTTTTAAAAGAGGAAGACAGGAAGTGGAAGAAAACGGAAGAAAATAAAAAAAAACAAAAAACAATGAAGGAATTTAGCAGAGGACGGAAGAAAACCATCCCTGGTTCTTTTCCTCCTTCAAGATTTTGGAGTCACATTAAGCTTGTAAAAACAAATTAATGGCTTCTTTTAGGGTTCCAAGAAAAACTAAAAAACCTTGTCACGTTCAGAGCTCCTTCTTTCACTTTTTATTCGACTTTCCTTCTTTATACTAGGTGAACGACGTGATGATTTGTTCCTGTCTTTACTGTCCTTCTCCTTCTTCCTTTTTCTATCCTTGTCTTTGTGATCACGATGTTTACTGCTTCGATCGTCATCTTTGCGTCTACTTGAAAAATTTTTAGAAAATTTTTAAGAAATCCTGGTTAGAAATCTTTAATTTTCTATTGCAATATTTTTGTTAACAAAAAAAAACTTTAAATAAAAAAATAATCCGTATAAAATCAAAAAACATGAGAAAGAGAATAAGAGAAAAAAGATTAAAATATGGATTGAAAAAAGAAAGGAAAAATACTAAATTCGAAAATTTTCCCCCATTCTTTCTTCGTTTTTTTTTGTTCATATTTATTGAATTTTAAATTTCATTTTTCCTTTCTAATTCATTCAATTCAATTTTTTCTCTTATTCTCTGATTTTCATCTCCTAAGGTATTTATTGCGCCTGAAAAAATTTTTTTCAAACAAAAATCTAGCAATAGAAAATCAAATTTTAGTCAAAGAAAACCTTCGTCCTGTAGATGGACTTCGACTTTTTGAACGAGTCCTTGAACGACGTTTCTTCCGAAGACTTGGTCCAGAATCACTTCCCCTGGAAAAAATTTTTTAAAATTTTAAATTAATTTGTAAAAGAAATACTCATCAGAACTCCGATCTCTTTCTTCCATAGGCCGAGACATTCCTCTACTTGAACGGAAACGATCATGAAATCCTCCACGGAACCCTCCAAATGGATGACGATAGGAAGGTTGAAAATGTCTTGGAGCATAAGTTTGTTGTTGTGGTGGATAGAGACTTCCAGCTGGGCCAAAAGTTGAGGGAGGGATTGAGAATGGAGGCCTTGGATTGTATGAGAATTGACTTAAAAAATGATTGAAATTTTGAAAGAAATTTAAAAAAACCTGGTAGGCGGAGGTTGGGAAAAATCAATCCGTGGTGGTGGTGGCATTGAGACTGCTGGAATTGAAGAAACTCCTGGCGGCCCATCACCTTCGTCAACACCAGGAGGTAAATCCATATCAGCAGGAGCTGACGCGGCAGGCATTGCTGAAGATATAAGATACAAATAAAAATTTAAAAAACCTGTTGAAGCAGATAAAATCGGAGCTGAAGAAGTGTGAGTAATTGAGGATTGGACAGGCAATGGAAGTGATGGTGGAATTTGACTGACCATTGGAACTTGAGGAACTTGAGAAACCAATGGAAGAGGTGGAGGAATTGCTGGATCAAAACTTGGTGGAGGCTTCGAGAAATCTTTAAAAGAAAATTAAACGCAATTGAAAGACATAGAAAAGTAAAAACCTATAACACTAATCGGCTGTTGTTCGATTGGAGGGGGTGTTGTTGTTATTGGAGAATGAACAAAAGCATCAGAAGTTGGTGGCATAGAATGTTCTGGTGTCATACCTGATTCAATATTTGAAGAAGGCAACAATAAACTTTCCAAAGTTTTAGGTTCTGTTTTAAATGATGAAGGCATAAGCTGAAGATATGAAAAATAAAATATTAATTTTCATAAAAAACCTCCGACGACTCTTGACGAACAACTCCTTTCTCGTTAATTACTGTTCGGATTACAGGTATTTGATTTAAAATAGTAGATGTTGTTCCCTTAAAAATGTTTATTTTTTAATTTACAAAAGAACCGATGAAGCTCAGTATAAGATAAACTCAATATTAAACTACTCCCCTCCCCACTTATGAACAAAACCCTCCAATTTAAGATACGTTTTTGTACTGGTGTGAAAGGAATTAAGTTCAAGATAACCCCATTAAAGGATAATTCAATTTTTCCCAAAACTATATAAATTAATTTCAAAACAAACCATATCATCCGCCCCATTTGAAAGAATTGGTGGAGGTTTGCTTAAATCAACAATAATTTTTTGAACTTTTTGTTGTTGCTTGTCTGATCCACCACCAGATAAATTAACTAATTGTCTTCCTCCAGCAAAAGTAGTTAGGCCAATTTGTGTTGTTGTTGGAATTGTAGCAGGTCCGGAAAGTAGAATATTTGAAACAATTGCCCGGTTTATAGCCGCTTGGTCATTGCCAAATTCTTGTCGAAATTTTCGTTGTCTCTCACAATATTGATTCCAGGTTTCTAAAAAAACTTTTAAGTATAATCAAAAATTATTTTTCTTTGAAATTAAAAAAACGTTTTACACCTCTCTTGGGTTCATAAAATTATTTTTCAATGACAGGATTCAAACCCTACACAAAACGTTAAATAAAACCAGACGCTTCCAAGTTACACCCGAGCTACATAGAGGATAATCAAATTTTACTGACTAAAATTCCGAAAGAATAAGGAAAACAACGATCTACTGTAAACATGGCCCCTAAAATAAAAGAAGCTCCTAAAGTTCAATTCTTTAAAGAAATTTCCCAAAAATTTTTTCGAAAAAACCTTCATTAAATCCATAATTGAAATAATCGGTAATATCAGCTCCCGGCTTCCTCCAAGGCTTATCCTCCATTGTAGCCAAATCCAAATCATATATCGGCGTTCCATCTTTCAATGTCGGATTTGTGTCTAAATCAATTGTTCCATTAGTCACTCCACTTCTATTTTGTTTTTGAAAAGGAACATTTGCTTTAATATCTCCAATTGTTACAACAAATTCATCATCCTCGCTGTCCTCTTCGTTTAAATAATCAAGTTGTCTGGGAGGTTCAGCATCATTATTGACTACTGAAAAAAAATTTTTTCTTGAAATTTTTTAAAGAAAGGCCTAGTGTGGATAAGGAAATGTAAGGAAGAGAAAAAAATAAAATTGGAAAGCAGTAAAAAGCTGTATAGCGGCACAAACCCTATTAAAAAGACCGTGCAAGTAGCGCCAAGACAGCTTACAAGGGAACATCTCAAACTTTCCCTAGTACTCAAAAAAAATTTTTTTAAGAAAAATTAACCTTCCTGAGAGGCCTCTTCATTTATTTCTTCTTGAACAACAACAGTTTCCTCTTCCTGAACAAGAACATCCATTTGTTCGGTTTCTGTTGAATTTATCATAGTCTAAATTCAATTTAAAATTTATTTAAAAAAATAAAACTTCAAAGAAATATTTAAACCGTTAATTTTTTAACGGATATTCACAAACATTAAAAATAAAATAAATGTACAAAATTCTTTATTTAAAATATTTAAAATCAAATTTTTGTAACTCCAGCTTTCAACGCCTTATTCACCAACTGTTTAATCTCGTCATTTAACGTCTTCTTAACCGTTTGTTTAAAATTTAATCCTTGAGCTCTACGCAACTTTCGACGCTTCCTTTCAGTACGAGAAATACGCTAAAAATAAAAAAATTATTTTAGAATAAAAAAATTATTTTTATCTTCCAACCTTTCCTTTGTAACGCTTTTCCTTCTTTTTCTCCTCTGTCTGAAAATAAAAAATTAAACCAAAAGAAATTTTAAAAATTGACGAAATTTCTGATTTTTAGGCATAATATCGGACTAGCTTTTTAAGAAAAAATCAAAGGAAGGTAGTCAGTTATACTCTGAACTTGAACTGCTTACGGGATGGTCAATTCAAAACAGACCACAAAACTTTAAACAAAAATTTTCTAATAGTTATAAACAACCTGAGTAGAAGCATCCACTTTAGTTCCACTTGTTGATGCACAAGCCTCTCCAATTCTATACTGACCAGCTCTATCTCCACCAGTTGGTTGAGTGAAAGCAGGAACAGCAAAGGCCCCTGGTCTCATCCACCCATTCCTTCGTCGCTTACTACCAAGCCTCTAAAAATAAAAATACATTCGAATTTTCTTAAATACTTCAACCTTTTGCTTCGTCTTTTCCTGAAACAGAAAAAGTATAAAGAATAGTTTTGGTCTAAATTCCTATAGAAAACCATTTAAAACCTGGGAGGAAAATATTATATCCAAAAGTTTTTAGATACTAGCCTACTAGATCCAAAGGTCTAAACCTTCAACTCTTTCAAATTTAATGTCTAAATAAAACCTTTTGAGGTGCTTTTCGAGTTGGTTTTGGATTTGTCACATTTTCATTGAGTTCCAAACATTCAGTTGATTCCATCTTCAACATAAGTTGACGAGTTGGTTCAGCATCAGCAACTATAAAACCTACCAAATCAAAAATATTTAAACAAAAAATAAACCGTCCAAAGCAGGTTCCATTTTAACAGTTTTCCCACCAGTACCAATTTGCTCAGTTTCAGTTGAATTCATGTCTAGATTCAATTTAAAATTTATTTCAAAGATTAAAAAGTTTTAAAAAATATTAACCGTCATTAAACGGATACATTACAAAAAATATTTAAAAAATTAAAAAAATATTTATTTACAGCAAAAAAAGGAAATTTTCTTAAACTTCAACCTTTGACGTTTTACTAACCACTTGATTGAGATATTGAGCTTTATGCTTCTTTAAACGCTCCCTTAAATTCCTAGGCAGTCTCTGAAATAAAAGTATTTATTTAAAAAATTATTTTTTTTGTCATCTCACCTTATTTCTTCCTCTATTACGTTTTTTCTTCACCTCCTTATCCGTCTGAAAATTAAAAGAAAAGAATCAAAATCTTATTGATTTTTTAAAAAATTATGAAAATTAGATAAAAAATCAAGGGGGTAGTTAGTTACAATCTAGAACCAAACAATTTACGGGAAGGTTAAATAAATAAAAAAAGGGACCACAAAACTTCCAAAAAAAATTTTCTAATAGACACAATCAACCTGTGTAGAAGCATTCACTTTAGTTGTTGTAGTTGTAGCTGCACCGACCTTACCCTCTCCAGTTTGTGTAGAAGCATCTACTTTACCCATAGTTGTTGATGCACAAACTGACTCTTCTCCAATTTTATTTCCTTCATTTGCTTGAATAAGAGCGAGCAAAGCCAAGGCCGCCTTTTGCTTCTTCCTGGCAATTCGTACACTCTTACTCAACCTCTAAAAATAAAAATGTTTGTAAAAAGTTTAAAAAAATTTCCAACCTTCCCTCTGTTTTTCTTTTTCTGAAATAAAAAATATAAACTCATTTTCGTCAGAATTCCTATGCAAAAATAAGGGAAGCTAACTTATGTTTACTTTACCACCAACACAAAAAATGATCGGAAAATGAACCTAGAAGTTAGAAACTTCTAACCCCTTTGAATTTAATATCTCAAAAAAATCAACCTTCGGGTTAGTCAAATTTTCATTAAGTTCCTCGGCAACTTCAATCTTCACATCCATTTGACGGCTCGGTTCAGCATCAGCAACTATTAAATTTATTAAATCAAAAAGTTTGAAATTAAAAAATTAACCATCAGAAGCAGGTTCCATTTTAACAGTTTTACCACCAGCACTAACTTTCTCAGGTTCAGATGAATTCATAGTCTAAATTCAATTCAGTCTAAATTCATAAAGATAAAAATTTTTTAAAAATATTCGCCGTCACTAAACGGATATTACAAAAAAATAACTTGAAAATTTATTTAAAGAATTTTTATTTTCCTTCCTTCCTTCATTGCTTCTACTATTTTCTTCAACTTTTTTTTGTCTCTTTGATGGAGTTTACGCTTCTTTTTAGGTGGCTGAAAAATAAAAAAAACATTGAAGACATAATAAGAAAATCGAGGAAAAGATCATTTACGCGAGGGTCAAGCAATAAATTAAATAAGGGACCAAACGACTTTCCTAAATCTTTCCAATAATAAATAACCTGCGCAGAAACATCCACTTTACTAGTAGCTGTTGCATCACAATTCTTATCCTCCCTAAGTTTATTAGCCTCCATTGCTTTTATTTTCTTCAACTGCATTCTCTTTCTTTGGGGGAGCCTTTTACGCTTCTTTTGTTGCAGCTAAAAATGAAATAAAAAAATGTTGGACTGGTTAATAAGAGAATTAAGGACGGCCAGTTACAATTTTGACTTAAACTATTCATTGAGTTAAGTCTTTCAAAGTTAATCTTTTAATAAAACAGAAATAAACCTGAGGAGTTGCCAAATTTTCATTAAGTTCCTCAGCGACTTCCATCTTCACCTCCATTTGACGACATGGTTCAGCATCAACAACTATTAAATTTATTAAATCAAAGAATTTTAAATAAAAAATTAACCATCAGAAGCAGGTTCCTCTTTAACATCCTTACCACCAGCAAAAATTTGTTCAGGTTCAGAGGAATTCATAGTCTAAATTCAATTTATTTTTAGCTAATAAAAAATTAAAATTTTTAAAAATATTAACCGTCATTAAACAGAAATTAAACAAAAAAATATTTAAAAAATTTATTTAGAAGAAATTTATTCAAAATATTTACTGGCAAATAATAAAATTTTTAATTAAAATTTTAACAATAATTAAATCCAATCACATTTTAAAGAATCAAAAGTCAAAGGACAAAAATGTGTGGGAATAATAGATATTCATAAATAAAATAAATTTAAATATAATTTGGGCACAAAACTAAAATAATATAACTGCCTATAATTAAATAGAAATGGCAAAATATTTTTTGAGACTAAAATAGGGTCGATGTACATAGAAAGAATCAAATGCCACACAAAAAGGAATGTCACGGGTCGCAGAAATCTGTGAATTTTTGCCCCACAAAACTACACGATCCAAAAAATTTTCTGAAACCCAACTAGACTTATCGACTCATAAATCCCTCTCTAACTGGCTCAACTGCAAAACCGACTCGAGGCCCTATACGGAGAAAATTTTGAAAAACCAAAGAATTTTTTTCTAAATCTGTGACACCTCTGACACAACGATGAAATGAACAAATATTTTTTAAAAGGGTAACTTTAAGCGATTTTTTTCAAAATCTTATTTGTGTGGCAAATATTCTCTCTTTCTCTCTGACTCAAAAACTTTTTTTTCAAAAAAACCTCTCATCAATATTTATCACAACGTCCATAGAAACGACGCAAAGACGCATCGATTTCCTTCAAATAATAAGCTCCAGAAAACATAGGGATATCACAATCCTTCTTTTTCAGATAACAATCTTAAAATTTTTAAAATTAAAAAAATAATTTTTAAAGAATCAAAGAAACCTCCATTTTTAACAATTTCTTCTCTCTTCTCCAAAATTTTAGTAAATTGTTCAGGAGTAAATTTAATTCTTTCATGTAATCTATCAAAAGCTTCTGCAGCACTTTTCTTTAAAGCATTATACAAGCCTTTAGTTTTATCATTAAAACGAATCGTTAAAGAAAACATTGCTGCAACACAACCACTTCCATAAGAAAAAAGCAAAATACGTTGACCATTCAAATCAGGCATAAATGGAGTACTAAAATTTAAAATATTTTTAAATTAAAAAAAGCCTTACTCAAAAAATAAATTAATTAATTGAGCGTAGAGAGATGGTGTGTACCTTTAGAATAAAAATAAAAAAATTTTTAGTTAAAAAATTTAAAAACAGTAGAAATCGAGGTAAATCAAAACCTCGATTTTACCTAAATCCTAGAGTCAAGATCAAGGCATTTTTCAGTGCTCCTTAATTTTTCCCTAACTTGAGGCCCAACATCTAATCAGGGTTCTTACCCAAAATTATAGTAAAAAATTAAAGCTTTTTTCGAAAAAATCCCGATCTCCAACAAAAAACAAACATATTTCCAATCCGTTGTCCAAATTCCAAATAACGATCTAATTTATGTTGAGCATCGAAGGAACAAGCATTTAACGTTTTATCTGTAAAACGATCCTTGCTGTCTGAACGAGTTTTGCCATTTTCTAATTGAAGAATTTCTGCCAAAGACATGTTTTTATATCCTTCCAAACCATTATAGAACCCAGCTGGAGTCAGATCTCTTTGATAATCGACAAAAGAAAGCCAAGCAAATGCTTTTTGGCAAAGTCGAGAATATGGAGAATGGAATAATACAGCCCGAAAATCGTTTAAGGAGCCAATAGCTTTAAAATTAAAAAAATTTTAATATGAGGAAGACATTTTGCGGTTTGTACTTTAATTTTTATAATTTTGTGGTGAATGTCCAAGATAACCAAATTCGACCGGCCGAATTCAGATCCGGCATTTGAACTCAAATCTGGACTTAAAGACGCTCAATTACATATAACAGATCTCAAAAATTTCTAAAAAGCACCTCTCCCCCATATTTCTCTAAGGAACAGAAAACTGTTTTATTACCAAAATAAAATTTAAAAAATACCATCCGAATTAATTTTCTTCCATTTATTCAAATAACCCTTATAACAGGCATCCAAAGCATGCAAATAAGTTCCAACACTGTTCGGACCATCAACTTTTGGATACTCTGTACAAAAACCTCCAATAGGCTTATAAAAATCATAAACGTTGGAGGAATAAAAAGAACGAAGACCACAATCGAAAACAATAGAAGCTTCTGGACCTAAATTTAGAAAAAATTATTTTTAAAAAAATGTAAAAATAAACCTATAAGAAAAGCAATAGCACCAGCACCTCCAGTACTTCTTGCTGCAAATTGAAAAAAAAATGAAAAAAAATGTATAATGTTAAACAGGATTTATTCTCACATAAATAAAGCATTTTCGAATTAAAATAGGAAAAAAGACCCAAAAGGACTCGAACCTTGAAAGTGAAGAGAAAAAAACCGAAACACCTAACCACTCAGCCGCCCACGAACACAATAGAAGGATAATAATTTAAAACCAATAGCTTTAAAAAAATCATACCAGGTCCTTTAGCATAAACAGCAACATCAACACAAACAACAATTGCCAATCTTCCTAAAATTTTTATAATTAAATTTTATCAAAAAAAAACCTTCAAATTCATAATTTGCATACAACCAATCAACAGAATGCAGCAAAGCTTGGGTTCCTCCAAAACAAGCATTCTTTTCATCTACACCCTCAATGTCTGTATTCCCTGATTCCATAAACAAATCCATCAGAACTGACTTGATACTCTTGCTTCGATCGACCAAAGTTTCTGTGCCAACAGCCAAAAAACCAACTGAGGTAGGAGCAACCTGGGAAAATTTTTTGAATTATAGTCAACAGGATGTGGCCAGGAAAAAATTTTCGGGGCAGAGAGGGTCATGTAGCCCACCTGGCTAGATGCCTAATAGTCAGACTCCACAAAATCCTCTAGAAAATATTAAGAATAACCTTATAATTTTCCAACAATTGAGCAGTTACACTTAAAGCCATTGAACACGAATCCTCGTTCTCATGACAAAAACCCATTTCAAATTGGCCTAATCCCAAAGTATACTTATTTGGAGAGACATTATCAAACTGAAAAAATTTTAAAAACAAAATTTAATTTTTTTCCAAAATAAACCTTTTCCAATTCTTTTTGATCAACATAAGATTTTGGAAAATAAAATTCTGCTCCAATAATTCCGACGCTTTGAGGTTTGCAAAGATTGGTAGAATCATTATTTGAAGCTTAAAACAAATTTTTAAAAATATTATTTAAATTAAAATAAATTTTTACTTAAATTGACGGAAGGATTGTGAACACCATTTACCAATAAACCATTTTCTCCAGCATTAGAATTTTCCATTACTATAAAAAAAAGAAAATGAATTAGCAAAATAATATTAAAATAAAATTTAAAAAAATTAAAATGAATAAACGGATAAATAAAAATATTTTTAAATGATGAAAATGAGATTAAAATCAACTATTTTCTGATAAGCAATAAGAGAAAAAAATATATTAAAAAATAATTGGGAAAAAGAAGTGGGAAAAAGCAACGGAAATAAATATGGAAATACATTGGTTAGTTTAATAGCCATAAAGAATGCTGTTTAATTAACAAAATTGAACAAAACTACAAGTTTATTAAAGTTTTTCCCAGAACATTTCCTTCCGCCAAGTTTAAAAGAAAGAAATGACAATAAGAAAGACAGACAAGTTAGCAAATCGAAGCTATAACAAATTTTGCAATTATAAATCGGGCAAAGAACATATTAATTATTATTAGTTTGACCTTCATCCTAAAGAGATTTATCTTAACCTTGATCAGCTATAATCAAAGGAAAGCGCAAATAAACTTACTTAAAAACGATAACGGAACAATCAACGAACGAACAAAATTTGCAAATTGAGCAAAACAAAAGTTTCCATTATGAAATATTTTAGACAATGGAAAATCAAAATATCTACGACAAAATGCCCAATACCGGTAAAACACTCATTTAATCGAAAGACAAAAGAGAGAACACAAGAACCGAAGAGACGGAAAAGAACAAAATACAATTTCCATTTTGACTTAACTCCTATCAGAGTTAATACAAAACATCAACTTTTAAAAAAGTAATTAAACTCACTCTTTGAACTTCGTCGAACTGAGCGTATTGTTAAAGCCTTTAGAGCATCACGAATTTTTTTTTCATAAAAATTAAAATTTTCAAAACACAAAAAGTATTATTGATAAAATCAAAAAAATTTTTTACGAAAAAAACAAGAAACACCCGAATAAATTTTATTTTTCAACTCTGATTTCAATTTAAAATTATAATTAAAATAAAATTTGGCAAAAATAAAGCAAACAAAAAAAACATCTAAAAATACAAAAACAGAAAGTATAACAATTAAAAAAAGGAAAATTATAAAAAAAAAAGAATATTATTTTTAGAGTTGCTTTCAAAACCTATTTTTATCAACAAAAAATTATTCTTTAAAGCAACTCTCTTTAAAAATCGTGTTTTTTTTTCAAGAATTCTCTCTTTGACCTAAAAATTTTTTGCTAGGAGACAAGATTATATAATCCAAAATTCTATAATCCAAACGATTAGTCCAGTAAATTTCCAAAAATGTTTTGACTCAAAATCTTGTTATTTTTAGTACAGAGGAAAATCCCCCCCCCCCTAGCCTTACTATTAACTAACAATAAAAACACGATCCCCTTTTTTAAAGGCAAAATTAAAAACAAAATTTATATGTGGACAAAAAAAGCTTATCAAAAAATTAATATTATTATTCGATTGATTGCCACTTTAATATAAAATGCTTTTTAAAAATTAAATTATAAATATACCGTAAATGTCCCAAATAGAGATCCATTAAATGTGAACCCATTGAAAAATAAAGGCCCATCCCCACTAGAGATGGGCTTGGGCCTGGATTTTTCCTGTGCTTAGAGTCCAGGTCCAGGCATTTTTTTGACCTTTCTGGGTTTTTCTTGGGCCTGGATTTTTGCTGAACTACAGGCCCAGGTCAATAAATCAAACCAAGGAACCCATGAACAGGCCCAGGCTTTTCAAAAATTCCGATCTCTAATGCCCCAAATAGAAGCCATGCCCTATTACATGTCCCCACTATGAGTTACATTAAAAAAATAAAAAGCCCAGGGTTCTTCTATTAGGACATTTTACGGCAAACATTATTACATATTTTCTTATTTAAATTAAACAAAAACTTCTCTTCATATTCTCCAACATCTTCATTTTAAAGAGCAATCATTTTGAGCAAAAACATAACACCAGCACTCATTAACCCAGCAATAGGTAAAGTAACTAGCCAAGACAATGAAATATTTCGAAAAACAGACCAATGAACAACTGGATGTGCTTGTACTAAACCAACAGCAACAACACTACCAACTTTACATTGTGTTGAACTTATTGGTAAACCCAATTTTGATGCAAATAAAACTGTTATTGCTGCACCAAATTCTATTGCAAAACCTCCGGGCGGTGTTATTCTTGTTAAATTTTCACCGACTGTGTAGATTACCTTTAAAAATTAAAAGTTAATTATTAATAGCTCAATGCAAATTTTAAAATCGAGGATGGGCCGAAGTCCATGACCCCATTGAGGCTGGGCCAAGAAAAATTGAGGTTGGGCCAAGGTCTATGACCTTTCTCCACATCTAAAGCTTATATGTACATCTGGTCTAGATTTAATATTTTCGAAACTAAAAAATTAAACTGGGTCTGACAATAAGCCAAGTCCGGAGGGTTTCCATATAAACCTAGGCATCCGTTTAAAATCAGTAGCTTCGAAACCAAATAAAGATCGAACTTAGATATGCCCACATTCCCCGCGCAATAAAAAAATATTTAAAAGAAACCCTATGTCCAAGTAGCCAAAGACCAACACACATTCCAGCAGCTCCATACAAAAGTAAATAAATTGAAGTATGTTTTGATTGATGTACACTTCCTTCATCATAAATTGCATACAAGGATACTAACGGAGCTATTGCATTACTGAAAATAAATTTTTTTAAAACAGGGAATTATTTTTCGGGGAATTTTCAAAAGAGATAAGAGGCTACCAAATATTTCTGAAACTTCTCCTATGAAAGGAACCTCCCCCCTCCCTAAAATTTGTACTCCTTCCTGTCCCACAGCAAATTTCTTTTCCCCCAAAAATTTACAAAAAAACAAATTCACAAACCTAACATCATTACCACCATGAGCAAAACCAGAAAAACAGGCAGTCAAAACTTGTAAAAAAGTAAAAAGACGAGAAGCATATGGATCCTCAGGTTTTGAAGAACGAAAAAAACTTAGTAAAGATGATGCTGGCCTTATTGAAGCATTTCCTTTAAAAAAATTTTTTTAATTCCACTAAAATTTTCAAGAAACCTAGAGATCCATTTTGATTATTTTGTAACATTTCTTGCCCATTTCCCTCAATTTTTGATTTTTCTGAAGTTGATTTTTGTGTTAATAATGTTGTTTCTGATTTTTCTGTTGTTGTTCCATTATTACTGACAGGTTCTGATATTCTTCGATAATTTGATGAATTTCTTGTTGTTTCTGAATTAGAATTGTTGACACTACTAACAACTTTAATTTGTTCTTCGCCATCTGATGTGTTGACTAAAAAATGAAAATAATTAATAAAAAAATTCTTCGCAAAGGTAAAAAATGTAGAGAAGTCAAGAAGGATGGGTCAAAGACAAAAAATTTTCTAAACTTGGCAAACTCTAATCGATTAGACTCTAATGATGGTGTCAAATAGGAAATTATAAAAAAAATTTTTGTAAATCAGAGTTTTCCAAATGACCTCTACTGCAGATCAGGGATGGTCAAGGCTTATCGAAAAAGCGATACACTAAACCCAGAAATTTATTTCAAAATTCCTCTCCACATTTTTTTGCCCGTGACAATCCCTATCCTCAGCGACGATATTCCTATTCCTGCCCCACAACGATATTCCTATCAAGTTCTAAATAATTCCTAACCCTCAGAGCTACCCTTTAATACAAAAAAATTAAAAAAATCCAAACAAACCTAAAATATAATTTTTTAACCTCTCAACAACAAAGAAACGAGTAATTAGAGCAGCAATAAGTCCAATACCAAAACTTAGCGACAAAACTGCCCAAAGTGGCCATTTATCTAATCCAATATCTAAAAAATTAAAAAACATTTTTTAATTAAATTTAAAAATTACAATGAGAGCCTTCAAAAGTAACAGCAAACACATTTACAGAAATACACAAAAAATAGAGAAATGGCAACAAAATTAATCCACAATGTAATGGACGATTCTGAAAGAAAAAATAATTTTAAAAATTTCAAAAAAAAATTTTTTGAAAAAATTTTTTCAAAATTCTGTCCAAAAAATTTTTTCCTTTTCACCCATTCTTATAACACCCACCCAATTTCCTAAAAAAATATTCGTCACTTTTTTACTACACTCCTCATTTATCAATTTTTCCCCAGTTAAAAAATTTTTTTTCGATTTAAAATTGCATTAATTGACACATTCCAAATGTCACTTTCCCCTCCTCCCTCCCAAAAAAATAATTAATTAATAATTAGTTTATACCCTTCGAAGAACAGCATGATCGATGAATAAAAAGAATAGTGATGACACACAACCAGAAAGTATTGGAGAAACAAACCATGAGGCAACTGCGCAAAAATTATAAGAATTTTAGAGGCATGTGATTTTTAAAAGATTCGGAAAAAATTTTGGAAATTTTTTAAGACAAATTAGCCAAGCCCTATTTTAGATAATCCCAAAATAAGAAAAATTTACCATGAAATATTCATGGTTAACTCCTTATTTTAGGTGATCCCCAAAAATAAAACCCTCTCCTTAAAAATTTTTTGGATGAATCATCCCAAGAATGCAAAAAAAAAAATTCAAAAAATAGAAAAATATTTAGTGACAAATGGTCCCAAACCCCTGAAAAATAAAAATTTCAAAAAAACTCACATATTTTTGTAACTTTTGACCATCTAATACCATCAGTTCCATGAAGTAAAATTGAATACCTTGAAAACGAATTTTTTCCCAAAAACAAAAAAATGAAAATCCAAACCCGATTGTCGCCCCAACAATTGAATGAGTTGTAGAAACAGGCATTTTGAAGAATGTAGCAATTAGAAGCCAAGCTCCACAACCCGTCAACACTGCAATTTGTCCCAAAACCAATTCTTTTTCTCTTCCTTCATAAATTGCCAAATCCACGACTCCTTTCCTCATTGTGTCCTTAAAAGAGATTTTTTTTACTTTCTCAAAAAAAATAAATCACTAACCGTCACTTGATATCCAAGCAAAGCGGCGCCCAAGGTTTCAAATAAAGAAGCGAGCAAATAGGCTTGTTGAAGGGTGAGGACACTGAAGACAACAAATTATTCAGAAAAAGACCTTTAGAAAACTCACCGGCTTCCAACGCTTGTACCAAACGAGTTGGCCGTATCATTAGCTGAAAATGGACATAATTTGCTTAAATAATCATTTTCAAAAATAACTAACCTCCAATTGCAAAGGCTAGAACAAATGCGATCAAGAAACCAACAATCTTTAAAAAAAATAAGGTAAAATTGGTAATCCTGCAGAATCTGGGATACACTTTTAAAAACCTTAAAAATTGTTATTTTTTTCTGAAAATCATTTTATATAGGTAATCGAGTATGCTGATCACGAATCCGAAAACAGATTTTGTCAAATATGACATCTTATCTATGATTTCTTATCATGTACTTGATTTCCAGCTAAAATTCTGTTGGTCATAACTTTGTTCAAAATTATTCAATCGAGCTCATTTTGGTGCCATTCGACTCATCTCGAAGAGCTCTTTCGAATGAGGGGTCATTTGTATAATCGAATTTTTTGACCCCAAAAATTTTCAAATTTTGGGGGTCTGTAACTCGGCCAAATGAAGTCGGATTTCGTTGATTTTGGTGTCGTTCGACTCAGCACGAGGAGCTCTTTCGAATGAGCTATAATTTGTATAATCGTATTTTTTACTCGAAAATCGACCTTACTTCCCCCTATGGTTTGATGATTTTCGGGGGCCTATATCTCTGCGAGTTTTCGTCTCCCGCAGAAAATTCTTGCATATTTGAACTCAGCATACTCGATTACCTATATAAAATGATTTTCAGAAAAAAATAACAATTTTTAAGGTTTTTAAAAGTGTATCCCAGATTCTGCAGGATTACCGTAAAATTGTCGATTATGTGAAGCATTTTTCATCTCCCCAAGCAACTCTCTTTACTTGCCACCTACCCATGACTGATTTTGTGCTAGGGACAAAGAGAAGGGCTCTGGGAGAGATGAAAAATTCATCACATAAAGGACAATTTTGTCAAAAATAACTAAGAAAAAATTTTAAGTCAACTCACAATTGTCCAAAAAATGTCCAACTGGAACAAGGCCAAATCTTCTACAACCATTTTTATTTTTGGAGTTTTTGGGGTGATTTTTGGTACAAAAAAGGGAAGAGAAAATTCTCAAATATAGATTGTTTCTGTTGTTTAATCACCGGTCAGTTCTTTGTTTTGAAAATGTAAAAAGAAGAAAACCAAAAGAAGCAAAAATAGGGGAGAACACCTCCTCCTCTTCGTCTATTGCAAAAGCAAAGGGTGTTTTTGAGAATAAAAAAGGCAGCTACCACCAAATGACTTTGAGTAATAATAGAAGAGACTGTCAGCAAAGAAGAAAAAGTGTAAATAAATGTCTGAAAATAAAAGTAAAAAAAAACAATCTATAAAAATTTAAAAAAAGGAAAGATTGGACAAAGGAGAAGCTAGAAAAATTTAAAAACATCACCAAATGAAAATTAGATTAAACGAAATATTTATTGGGCAGAATGTCAAAATGTCGAAAATCGATTAGTTCAGAATTTAAGGGTAAATTTTGGGGTCGTTTGAGTCTGGATCCAAGGATATCAATGGTCACGCAATTTTTAATGTTACAATGGGTGATTTAGGAATTTTAAAAAAAACGAACAAATTAATTTAATGAAAAAAGTGACGGAAGTAAAAAATTAAAGACAATTTATTTTCCCGCCATTTTATTTAATTTTCAACCTATGGATTAAAAAAATCGTAAAGATGGGAAAAATTGAAAGGGGAAAAAATTGTAGGCCAAAAAACGAGCGGGTAACAAACAACACAAACACTTTTTTATCCCCCTTTCATCACTAACTGCTCAACTACAAACAAGAGAACTTTGAAATGAAAAAGGAAAGAGAAGAATTGGGGTGAAGGGAGGAAACTTTGTAACATTTTTTCTTTCACTACTCTACTCTATTTTCCCGCGGCAACACATTTTGCCAATGTCACACTTTGCCAATAAGGCTAAAAACCTCATTTCGCCAACAAGGTTGTTGACAAATCGTAAGTTTTCAGCCTTATTGGCAAAATGTGTGTTTGGCAGAATATGTTTACTATTTACCCCTTGTTGTCATTTGTTTTGTCTCTCTCAATTAAAACATACTCTCTCGTCTATTTTACTTTCCCTCTTCCATTCAGCCGCACTTACCGGCAACCAAAACAGAAAAAAATTTCTTTTTTTCTCTAACATTCTCTTCAAATTCCTTTATCTCTCATTCACTTAAAAAAACTCCCCCGTTATAATATAGGCATTTTCTTAATGAAATTGGTGGGTAAAACGACTGAAAGGGAATAGAAAGGAAAGGAAAATAAATAAAATATAAAAAAATATATATCTTCTTTTTTTGAGCGGCCAAAGCGATGACTGGCAAGCTTGTTGTCAGTGAAAAATCTTAAAATGTCATGGACGAGTTATGAAAGCCTTTTATTTATTTTTTTTTTAATTTTTTTTCTATTTTTTTTGAATTGATGATTGAATAAATGAGGGCTTTTTGGTATTTTTTTTTACGTGAGAAGAAAAAAAATTTTTGTTGAGAGAAAATGGGGAGGGGTGTAATGAAGCGGATAAAAACAAAACAAAAATGGATTTTTAAATTAGTAGAAGAAAATATATAAAACTGATTGGTGGAAGAGGAGCTTTTTTCTTGTCCTTTTTATTTTAATAAAGAAAAGTGTTTATGTGAGAAAGTTCAAAATACATAAAAAGAAAATTTTTTCTTTTAATTTTTTATTAAAAAAAAAGTAAGAAAAAGTATAGTACAATAATTCAAAAATAAAAAGAAAAAAAATTTATTTTTCTTTTAAAATAAAATAAAAAGTCAAGTGTCTTTTTTCAACTGAAAAAGAAAAATTCGTCATAACCTAGAAAACCCCCAAAAAAAAAAGATAAGAAAATTATTTAATTCTTATTTAATTTATTTGTAAAATACATCCACTTAAAAGAAAAATTTTTGTGGTTGTCTCGGTGGTTTAGTCGGTTAAGCACCAGATTCTCACCTAGATAGGTTCCGAGTTCGATCCCTACCCCGGTCAAAATTTTTTTTTCTTGACTTTTTAAGTATGGCAGCCATTTTATTTTAGAAAATCGATCAAAAAAAATTAAAAAAATTATATTTCTTAAATGAGATCGGACAATATTTTTTTGTTTAAAAAATTTATTTATTTAAAAAAAAAACAACCTCTCCTCTCTCCTCTCATCAATTCAAATCTTTTTTTTTTATTTATTTTCCATTTAAAGGTCCAGTTGAGGAAGGTCCATTTGGGGTTGCTGTTTGTTGTTTTATTATTATTTTATTATTTTCGAGAACAATTTTGCTCCCATTCTTTTCCTCTTTCTTATCTTCATCTTTATCATCTTCATCCCCTTCATCTTCCTCATTTTGTTGTTCCCAATCATATGGTTCTTCTGGATTTATATCATTATTTCTTATTGCCAAAGAAATTAAATCACGAACATACTTTAAAAAAATAACTTTTTATTAGTAAAATACAGTCGAACCTCGTTATAAGATACACTCATTATTGCGTAAACCTCATTTGGGTGTGGGAGGATCTTCCTAAACAATAGCCTCTCTATTTAGGGTACATCTCATTATAAAGTAGTAAAAAACTTAACTTCAAACGAGGTGTTTTGTGAGGGCATCTTATAGCGAAATCCAACAATTTATTATGAAAAAGTAAAAAAAAATACTTGATAACTTGGAAGTGTATTGTAATCAAGCTGATCCAAATAAGTAAGAATACGACGAAATTCCATCTTTAAAAAAAATTTTTTTTAATTTTTCAAAAAATAAAAAAAAACAAACTCTGGGACAGTGCTTAAGTAGATCAATCTGAAAAGAATTTTTTTAGAAAGTTTACAAAAAAATTTCACAAACAAACCATTCCCTGTTGACTTCTAGTCTCTTCTTTTATTCTTCTAACTTCATCACGTTCAGCTCCATGATAACCACTCCAAGGTAATTCGCCAGCCATAAATTCAGCCACAACATAAAGCCAACTTTCCAAATCATCTTTGGGGGATTGTTCTTGGGCTCTATGGGCTGCTAATGGTGCATAACGGATTGTACCTCTTTAAAAATTTTTTTAAAAATTTTTTCTCCTAAATCCTGAATAAGGGATGGGACAGGGAACAGAGAAAGTTCGGGAATGGATCAGGATCGGATCGTATTGATAAAAAAAGGTCGAGCTGAGCTTTTAAGAATTCCTTCGAATTGAGTCTAAGATAACCCAAACTATCCCTAGATATCGAAGTTCTTCACTCGAAAAATCTTTGATACCCTCAGTGCAAGTTTTTTAGTGCAGTTTCAGCCAACTGAGCCAGATAGAAGGAACAGAATCGGGTTTCGAGTTTCAGCTCGAAAGCCGAGTCGGGTGTTCTTCGGATCTGATTCCGAATCGAAACAAGTCCGGTTTTCGGGTAACCCTATCCTTCCCTAGTTCAGGCAAAATTCTCAACCCTTTAAAAAAATTTCAAAAAACCTGAATTGTGTATTTTCTCTAGGCGGTTTAATTTCACCATTTGGCAATTTAAATTGTCTACATAATCCAAAATCTATCAACATTATTCGACACGTCTTGTTGTTATCCTTTGATTGTAATAAAGCAAAATTTGAAGGTTTAACATCTCTGTGAACATAACCAAGTGAATGAAGTTGTTCTAAAGCACTCAACATTTCCAATGAAAGTCTTAATGCTGTAGGGGCTGAGAAACGATAATGTTGAAATTGAAGACGAAGTTTGTACAAATTTTCTCCTAGCTGCAAAAAAATTTTTTTAACCATTTATTGATTCTTTTAAGAGGCGTATGGATCCTAGAATCATTTATATTTTAATAAATTGGAGTCAAAATTACATAGAAGATTCATAAAAAATGATTGGAGTTCTTCTTGGTTCATCTAACAATAAGAGAAGTACGGAACTAGAATCTCTTCTATATCCATTGACTTTAAATCAGGCCTGGAACTCAAGTCAATAAAAACGTTCCCTTAGTCTAGTCTCGGTACACCAAAAATTCCTAAAGTCATTCATGACAACCCCAAATCTCCAAAGGAGTGTGGGAAACCTGACCCGAAGATTTTCCACACAGAAACCCGACCCGTACTTATTTGTGAGGCTCATCCCTCTCTACTCCAAGGCCTTATTTCCCAATTTATTAACAAAAATAAATTACACAACAAACCCTATTCATTATGAGAAATTTGAAATGTTTTTGAATCATTCCTCTGTCAATAAGATTACAAAAATGAGTCAAGTGTGATTTGTTTGCTGCTTTTAGAACCAAATAGTCCATACTTAAAGCACGTGTAGCAATGTCACAAACCTCGAGTTTTGCAGCAAATAATTCTGGAAAAAGAGAAAACTAGTGCCCACAAAATAAAATTTCCCGACGCGGAAACCTGCTTTTCACACATATCGAGCCAGATCTGGCCGAATTTTTGGGATTAATCCGTTCTATAAAATCCGGAGAGCACGATAAGAAAAAACCTGGACCCCTGTTGCATCCTGTCCGGCGTCGGGGATTAAAAACCCCGTTTAAAAATTAAAAACTCACTTCCATCTCTTGTCCGCAACACCTTAAAAAATAACAAAATTTGAAAAATCAAAAATTATCAAGAAAACCTCATAAACAGCTCCATATTTTCCAGAAGCAATCCTCTTCCCAACAGCATAAGAATCTTCTTGTCCACGTATTATATTATTGCTGGAGGGTAGTCTGGAAGAAACCAATTCTTGTGAGTGTTCTGCGTCAAGACCCTAGAAGATAAAATAAAAATTTTTAATTATAGAAATTTTTTGCTCTCCCAAAGGGGTCAAAAAGTCAATTAATTAAAAATCAGGTCAGCTCGTTCCCCCCTCATTTTAACTACAAAAATTCCAAAATTTTATTTTACTTCAAAACTGTTGTCGTCGTTCATAGAGATTAATAATTTTGTTTTAAGAAAAAAATTTTTCAAAAAATTTTTTTCAAAAATAAAAAAATAAAATGATTTTTGTGCTTAAAATAAAATTTAAAAACAAAGAATACAAGAAAAAAAATATTTTTTTAAAGAAATTGCGAGAAAGATTGAGCAGCGAGAAGCACAAACATTACAACATTTAAAAAAAGTAAATGTTAAAATTGTCTTTTTTTGTTTTTTGAAATTGTGTGGACAAAAAGAAAGGGACAAATAAAGGAGGATATTTTTGTAATATTAAAAACAAACATTAAAATCTCTTTTTTTTATCGGAAATAGAGAGGGTAATCTTATTGATAGAGGAACGGAATGGAACGGGGAATAGTAAAGAGGGGTACTTTTGAAAAAAAATTTTTAAAGCTGACAGGAACAGAGAAAGAGGAGAACGCATTGCTTATACTCCACTCTTCTCTCCATTTAATTTAAAAAAATCCCGATCAAAAAAAAAGTAATAAAAACAACAAAATGTTTTGTGAATCGATTTGAAGGGCCGCGTTAAAAAAGAAACATAGAGACAAAAAGGATATAAGGAGGGATGATCAAAAAAGGCTAGCCCCAAAAGATCGACATTTAAATCAACAAATTCACAAGTAGAAAGATAAAACTGACAGCATATCCCAACAAAAAATTTTTATAAGGATAATGGGATTAAAATTAAACCAAGAATCTTATACAACTGGAAAATTGCAAAACAGAAAATCAACCCAAAAATTTCAAAAAAAATTTAAAAAATTTCAAAGGGCCCCATTAACCAACAAGTTTATTTAAAATAAAACAAACCTTGTTGATTTTTCCATCCTTTCAAGTATTGATCTTCTGGATTAACTCTTCTATCAATTGAGAGGTCATGTGCACATGAAAAGCCAAGTGTGCTTGATTGCTTGCGTAGATTGAAAAAATAAAGAGAAGAGGTGTAATTATATTAAGAACAGCTGAGCTTTTGAAGATTCTTTGCTTTTCTATAATATTTTTTATTGAAAAAAATTTTTTCAACATTCAAAAATGAAAAGATATTAAAAAAGAAATAAAATCTTTTTTTTCAAATAAATAATAAGCAATTAACATAAAAATAACAAACCATTTTTTATTGCAAAAAAAAATATAATTTTAAAAAACAAGAGTATAGATTTAGTCTTAATTCACAAATAGATTAAAAAATGGATTAAAAACAAAATTCAAATTTAGGAAAATTTTTGACTTAAAAATTTTTTAGGCTCCAGACAGTCTTACAAGCAAACATACCAAACTGTGAGTCAAAATTCTGTATTATTTTTGGTACCAATCGATAGAGCATCATCGATTTACTCTAGAAAATTTTAGGCTTTTTTTGGCTAGGAATATGAAACTAAAAAGTTATGGCGCTTCAAAGTCACAGTTTGGTATGTTTGCTTGTTGGTAGTCTAATGAAGGTTATTTAGTAGTCCACTGAAAGTTTATTTTGGAGTTTTTTGATCTCATAAACAGACAAATACTTTCATTGGACTGATAAAAATTAATTGAACTCATAAACTGTATCAGAAGCCAATTTTTGTTTTTAATCCATTTTAAATATAAGCACGGAAAATCTTTTTCCAAAATAACAAAAAAACCTCAACATTACTATTCACTTATTTACTTCCTTTTTAGGCATTTTTTTCTCCTTCTCTTGGTCACAGGGCGCCGGTTTAACAAAAGGAATTTTTTCTTTATATTGTGGAGGCATAAATTCACGTAAAGCTTCAGGAATTAAAATACAATCAACAGTTTGATAATTTTCCAAAACTGCACAAATAACTCTTGTTGTTGCACACATTGTTGCATTTAACATATGAACAAAATTAACCTTTATAAAAAAATATATTTTTGACATGAGCAGAAAAAATTTTTTTTAAAGAACAATGGAAGGGCTACTTTTCAAGGCAGTAAAACGAACCCAAATATTATAGCCGGATCCTACTCGCCCTTAAAATGTTATTTTAATTTGGTCGGCTACTTGTTCGGGTTGTTTGTTAATGTCTCCTTTTGAAAATTTCCTGCCCCTCCTGTTGTTAAAAAACAATTTTCCTAGTCCACAATCAATAGTTTGCTTCCTCGAAGAATTTTCCTAGAAGCCTCCACTGACAGGGAACAATACTAGTAGCTATTGAAATAACTTTATACTAATCCTAAAGGATGTTGTTCTTTTTAAAGTTAGATCCTCAACTTTGTATTAAAAACCCCCAAAAAAATTTTTTTAGATAAGTAAACCTCTCCATCCAACTTTTTAGTTTGTCCATAACGAATTTTAAGTCGTCTCGATTGATAATCTGTACAATTTGAACACGAAACCAATTCACGAAAAGCTCCACTTGCAGGAAACCAAGCCTCCAAATCAAGTTTTTTAGATGCTGCATTATTTAATTCACCAGAAACAATATTAACAATTCTATAAGGAATTCCAAGAAGTTGATAATAAAATTCAGCATTTCCAATCATCTATATAAAAAATAAAAAAGTAAGTTATCCTAAAAAACATTGGTCTCTGGAAAAATGAGCAAGACGTGCTCCTCCTATATTTTTGAGGTTTCAGAGCAGAGACGTCAAGAACTACCCGAAACCTATACTTTATTTGATCAAAGCTAGATACGAAATTAAACTTCTCATGTCCTCTAGAAAGCAATAATCTTCAAGATTACCAAAAAGAAAAAGAAAAAAATTATTTTATTATTAAAAAGAAACCTCATCAAAATGCTCCCAAGATTCATCATCAAAAGGCGAGCAAATAACAAATTGTTCAACTTTTTCAAACTGATGAACGCGAAAAATTCCACGAGTATCACGTCCATGACTTCCAGCCTAAAAATAAAAGTTAAAAAATATTTCCTAATAAAAAAACCTCTTGACGAAAACATGTAGACATACCAGCATATTTTAATGGCAAATTTGCAGGTACCAACCATTCATCACCTTTTAAATAGAAAATTAAAAAAATATTAAAGTAAAAACAAACGATGAAAAGCAGCTATAGGTTGTTCCGAAGTAGCAATTAAATATTTATCATCGCCAGAATTTTCGTTTTCAGAGCCTTTTCCGACTACCTAAAAAATTTTTTTAAAGTAAAAAAAAGTTTCAAAAGCTTTCCAATCACTTGCGGGACAATATCTAAGAAAATAAAAACAAGGGCCATCAAAAGGATTCGAACCCTCAACCCAAAAACTAGCTAACCCAACACACTACCGACCAAACCACAAAACACAATAATAAAAAAGCAGCAAAAAAGCTCTAATTCATTCAAAAACTCACTCTATAAAGCTCTTCATCAAATTGACTTAATTGGGCAACTTCTTGCATAAATTCCTTAAATTTTACAAAAAAAACTTTTTAAAAAATTCGAAAAAAACCTTTCTCATAAAAAATGGAGGATAAATTGGAACAAATCCTTTTTCCGATAAAATTCTTAAGGCTAATCCAATTAATGCTTGTTCAAGAAAAACTAAAGGTCCTTTAAGGAAGAAGCTTCTACCACCAGCAACATTAGCGCCTCTTTCACCATCAAAACCATCAACCATTGTAACCAAATCAACCTTTAATAAAAAACGAAAAGTATGAAAAAAGGCGTGGAATCTTTCCTGAAAGAACCCCTAGCCATAAGACCCAGCATTTATTTATACTTTCAGAGGACTTTTCGGCCTGAGTCTTTCTTTTAACTCTATACAAAAGTACTCAAGACCACGATAAGCAACTAACATTAAGACCATGACTCAAGACTCGTCAAAGGTCAAGTAGTAAAATCTTCCTGAACCTAAAGTTTAAACTCAGGCATTTATTGAACTTCCATCTGGCTTGATTTTTCCTAAACCCAAGACCACAACTAGGAATCAATGAACTCAAAAATTGGATATAAATACTCAAAGATAGCCAAAAAGGGCGCAAATGAACCTAAAAACCCCATAAGGAAAATGGGACACGCCCACTTAGTCGCGCGGCCACTTAGTCGCAGAGCCATAACTTGCTAAAAAATTTCTGGCCCTTATCAATTTTGGTACCAATCTCTTTAGCTCGATGAGAGGAATCGTTTAATACCAAATTTGGAAAGATTCGGAAATCTTAAAGCAGGTTATGGCTCTGCGACTAAGTGGCCGCGCGACTAAGTGGGCCGTACCCAAGGAAAATAACTTTAAAAACATACATGAGAATAACATTTTCGACTTTCACAATCCCCAAAAGTCCTCTCCACTTTATTGTCATCTTCATTATCACTTATCGGAACAGAATCATGTAATAAATTTCCAATTTTCTTCAAATTTTCATTTCGATCCTTCTCCAAATTTTCCATTTTTAAATTTGTTTGAACAGTTTCCTCGTCCAATTTCTTCTTTAAATTTTTGATTTGAGCGATGGAAAGAGGCTGAAAATAGATAAAAGTCTTCAAATAAAGAAGAAAAAACCTTAAGAAGGTCCAAACTCAAAGCGTCAAATTTAGTCACAAAATCAGCGGGAAGTTCTTCCGGCCCGCCTTGTTGTTCCTTTTTCTATAAAATAAATATTTTTGAAGATAAAAAACACAAGAAATTAACCTTCATTTTGTCACCTATAGTTGTGCTACACATTTTACTTGCACGATTAATAGCATCCAAATTGAAACGCTCTGAAAATGAATTTTATTAACTTAAAGAAAAAGACCGGGAATTTTGGGTTTTGTGTGACGGATTTTATTTTCTCAATAATCAACACTTTATATTCTCTTAACAACCATATATCAATCAAAAAGGGTTGGTTAATTTTAGATGGAATTCAGTAAAGATCGAGCTAAGCCTGGAACAAGGCCCGGGTTTTTCTTGTACCCAGAGTCCAGGCCCAGGCATTTTTTGATGTTCCTGGGGTTTCCCTGGGCATGGGTTTACTGGACTACAGGCCCAAGACACGGCCCAGGTCAATAAATCAAACCCAGAGTCCAGGAACAGGCCCACAGACACACACACAGTCCTGTCCCTAATTTTGACCTTAAACTCAAAAACCAGTAAAATCTTTCAAACCTTTTCTCCATTCAACATCAGCCTCAATAACCTTATCAACTAAAGTAACATCAGCAAAACGTCCTTTTTGAGAAGTTCTAATTAAGTCTGGATTGCCTCCTTTTTCAACACGAAAGAGATCAATATTTAGAACCATAATATAAATACTAAATAAAAATTATGCAAAAAGCTCTGAAAAACAAAATAAATTAAAAATTAAATTTCGAGAATAAATGATTGAGTCAAAAATTGAAGAAAAAAAATAAAAATTGGGTGGGGGATCATTGAGTCCCGCCTGTAGAGTCCCGGAGACATATTTTGGGTCATAACTTCTTGGATTTTCAACCAATTCGAATAAATCTTTTATCAGTCGAAAGCCCTGGATCTGAGGATCATTTTCATCAAAAGGATTGATTTGACCAGATCAGCCTACAAAAAGTTACATCTAGATAAGTACGCGCAATCGTGACTTTTCATCTTTATTAGGCTGTAACTTTTCGTATCTTGATCTGATTTAACCTTCTAGATAAAATAATCGCTACATCAAGAGCTTTCGAATGATATATTAATCACCTAAATCGCCTAAGAAATAAAAAAGTTATGGCCCGAAATATGGCTCCAATACTCAACACGCGAGACTCAACCGGGCTGTTCTGAAAAAATTGTAAATAGGACATTTGAGTCCTGCACGAGTCGCGCATTTTGTTTACTATATAAATGAGAGTTTTTGTTATTTGTGTTCATTTGTGTTATTTTTTGCATCATTGATTTCTTTTTTAATTTCTTTTTTTTTTACTTAAGTTATCTACTTATTTGGTTGAATATTTTTATTTTTTAAATTAAAAATGACTACTCAAGTCCAAGCTATTTGCGTTCTCAACGGCGACGGTGACAAGAACGTTAAGGGCACCGTCCGTTTCTCTCAAGTAGCTTTTTAACTTTCTCATTTTTTAAACGATAAAATTCAGGAAAAGGAAGGTTCGCCAACTCGAATTGAAGGCGAAATCACCGGCTTGTCTCCTGGACTTCATGGTCTGAGGCTGTTTAAATGTTTGAAAGAAATTTCTTTTTTTCTAGGTTTCCATGTTCATGCTTATGGAGATCTCACCAATGGCTGCGTTTCCGCTGGACCTCATTACAATCCGACCAATATGACTCATGGTGGTCCTCTGGTAAATTTATTCCTTTATTTCTTTCCCAGTCCTTAGCTTTGGGCCTCATGCGGGTTTAAGTTCTTATAATCTAAAGTGGCTATATGTTCGGCTGTAGTGTTGTACGAGGCATGAGTCGTTCGATTCGCCTTGACTAGCTAGGTCGAATGGTGCCACTCCCTACTTGGGAAGTGATTCTGTGCGGAGCTATAAGTCTTTAAAAACTAAAGAACCGTAGGGGAGAGTAGGCACATTCTCGGGGTGAAAAATCCGAGTCCTTTATTCAATTCCATAATTTCCCAAATTTTTCCAGGATGAAGTTCGTCATGTGGGTGATCTGGGCAATGTTCATGCGAACGAAGATGGGGTAGCTGCGATTGACTTCAAAGACGGGAAGGTTTCGCTTGTTGGTCCAACAGCTATCGTCGGGCGTACTTTGGTCGTTCACGCTTTGGAAGATGACCTCGGTTTTTAATTTTTTAAATTTCTATAAATTTTTATAAATTTAGGCCGTGGTACTGATGACAAGGCTGAAGAGAGTAAGAAGACTGGCAATGCTGGGCCTCGCCTGGCTTGTGGCGTTATTGGTCTTGCTGCTGTTCCGCAATGAATAATGATGGAGAGGGGAAGCAAAATTTGATTAAATATAATCACTTTGACTTATAGGCAAATATTCCAAATATTTTTAAGTTATTTTTTTAATTGATTTTATAAAATTTATTTGGATTTTTTCATTGAAACGAGTAAATTTTGATTTGGATAAATTTTTATTATTTTTGGCAAAAAATTAGGGAAGTAGGAATGTTGGTTGTTCGTGATATTTGGGCCAATTTGGATTTATTTTAAAGATTTTTAGGTACTAGTGAGCTTTTCAACCTTCCTATCCTCCATAGCAGCACAGAAATTTTTCCAATGAAGCCCCCAAAGCTGAGCTCTGCTATGCATAATTTTTAAATTTCTAGGGATTTAAAACGCCCCCCCCCCTATGTCGGAGTGACTCACTATCAGACCTAAACTGAGTGGAAAAATGTTTAAAGAAATTTCCTCGTTAAGGTTTTTTCCAAGAAAAAAGCTATTTAAAATCAATCAAAATAATTGCCCAAACTTGTAGTCGCGTTATTGTTGTTGTTAAAGCGTCGGCTATCTTCCTTTTCATATATTTTTTTATTTGTCCTCTCTCTCAATCGGCAACAAAACCTAAAAATTCCCTCCTTTTCCCATTTTTTTCCTTTAATCTCAACCCGTTCAAGTGGATCTGTAGCTTATCCAAAATATCAACAGTTAACTTATTCTTTCTTCTCCAGTGATCTTTTTGGTTGCAACTGAGAGTGGACAACACTACACAAAAGAAAAGGAGAAAAGTAAAAGCGGACAATTGCAACTTGAAATATGCTGCAAGTTTTGTAGAAAAAAATTTGAAAACTTTCTTTTTTTAATACTGGAAAACTTTCCCCTCCTTTAATATTAATTCATCAACAATTTTGTTTTACACATCTTCCCTGTTGTGAAAATATATTTATTGTCCATCAACTAATCTAAAATATTTTTTTCAATTCTCCGTTACCTCAACTGGCTTTGAGGATATATAAGAGATTAAAGGAGGTTCCGCGAATAACTAACAAACTTTGCTTAATTGAAAATACATCCCCTCTAAATAGCCTTTCTAGGATTTTTATTCTGTTAATTTTATTGGAATAAACGCTATCACATAGTTCTCCGCGCTTCTACATTTCATACCCCTCTAGAGCTGATGTGAGACGTAGGTGACTGAAATTTAATTTATCAATTTCCCTAACAAATAGGTAAAAGACAAGAAGCGAATGTTCTATAACGGGGATGAGTATCGAGTTATTCGAAACCCGAGATCAGACCCATGGGAAATTTTGAATGCTCAAACCCGATTTTTCTCATAGGCCAGTTTCAGACTGGGACAATTGTCTAAAATTAATTTTAATTCTCAGATACATGTTGTTGATCACTAGAACAAATTTAACAATTTCCCTAGCATTTTTAATTATTTTATTTATTATTTCCCACAATTTCCCCTCTACAATATTAGCTGATAAATTAACAACAAATAAAGCTTCCATAGACGGTGAAAAATTAAAAACTCAATTACTAGAAAGTTTAAATAGTTATGGAAAAATTAGAGGAAGTGAAGAATTTTTGGAGCCTATTGGAAATAAAAATCCAAAAAAATTATTTTTGGATGCTCAAACTACTTTTAAAGGTTTTTAATAACATCTAGAAGCTTTACTATAAAATAAAAAATTATTTTCCGTCAATAGGATTCGAACCTTTAACCTCCTCTTTGATTATGCCACTTATCCAAAAATATCACCACTCGAGTATTTCTTTCCTTTCTGGTGATCTTCTGGAATAAGCAGAAAAGGAGAGAGAAGCGTACCCAAAATATCACCACGCAAATATTTCTATCCTTCCCGGTGATCTTTTGGAACAAGTCTTCACCTAATAATTCTTTGGTTCATCCGGAAAATGCTGAGTTTAAACATCATAAAGGTTAAAGGTTCGAATCCTATTGATGGAAAATAATTTTTATTTTTACAGTAAAGCTTCGTATACTAACCAAAAATTTTTTTACTTTTAAAAATTCCCCTCTAAATTTTTTTCAAGCATTTGAACATCCTGACAGTTTAAATAATTCAAGTTCAATGCTTACAGAAAATGAAAAATCAAAACAGGCTAAAACGCTAGGAGAATGGCGTCGAAAAATGTAAAGAAAATTTTTTAGAGAAATTTTTTAGCCAAAAATTTATTTTTTTAAAGATACAAATTTTTGGGATTAAATAAAAGAAAGGAAGAAAAGTCTGCTTTAACTACTACTAAACAATCCCCACCTCCTTTAGTATTGCGTGATGATGAATTTTCCTCTACCCCTCTACCAATTTTTATGGAAAAGGAAGATGAAGATAATTTATGTAATCACTACAAAAGGTAGTTATAGAAATGAAAATTTTTCTAACCCCTTCTAATAGTAAGAAAGAAATAAAAATTTAGCCCCTGGCAGTCATTAATCCAGCGACCTCATGTCAGTTATCGCTAATTCACTCACCAAGATTGGTGCTTTAGAGACGGAGCTCTAACGACTGATAAGAGCCAGCATAACGATGCTTTAACCTTTACTGAAAAAAATTTTTTTAACCCCCCGCCTGGTCCAAATCCACAAAAAAAGAAAAAAATAGTAAAGGCACTACAATTAAAAAAATTTTTTTTAAACAGAAAAGACCAACAAAAATTTCAAAACAAAATTATTCGACTTGCCCCAATACAACCAATATTTACTTCTGTAAAAGAAAATCCTTTACATTGGAATTTTGGAAGTTTTAATAAAAATATAAAAGAAAATCCAGGAGGATGTGGTGGAGATGAACAACAACAACAATTAACTTTAATGGCATTAGAACAAGAAAATAAACTAAAAGCTAGTGCTGATAAAACTAGAGTAATATTCTACTAGTAGCTTAAATTTTTTCAATACAATCAGACCTCACTTTAGGATATACGGCTGAAAAAATCGTACTTATAAAGAGCAGTATCATAAATAAGGGGTATCTCGCATAGGCACCCAATCTAATTTTGAGGTTTATTTTTATATGAGGTTTATGGGTGTATTTAGAAATGAGTGGTGCTTTAACTTTGGGGTACGCTTAAAAAACTATCCAACACCCAGTGGCCTAAAAACGGATTTTAAATTAGGTTTAATTCTCGAGGTGCCTTATAATGAGGGGTTCTTAAAGTGAGCCTAAAAACGGATTTTAAATTAGGTTTAATTCTCGAGGTGCCTTATAATGAGGGGTTCTTAAAGTGAGGTCTAACTGTATTAAACTAAATAGTCTTCATATATTTTTTTACAAAAAGAATCTACAAATCCCATTACCCTCAATTCAACAACAACCTCCCCCACCTCCTCCCCAACTTTCACCTCTTCAATTCCCACCACCCCCACCACAACTCCCACAAGCACCACAACCACTTCCACCACCTCCATTAATACAACCTTTTCTTCCTCTTCAATTCCCCAATAATTTATTTCCAACTTTGCCTTCTTTAATAACAACACCTCCATTTCAACCTACAAGCTTTGCAAACCCATTAGAATTGGTACAACAACACCCAGAGAAAGAATATCTTAAAGAATTGGAAAATGTTCCAGAAGATTATTTAGACGAACAAGAAAATAAGGTAAAGAGATAACAGACCCTCGTTATAGTAAACCCCAACAGATTACGCCACGCGCCCTGCAAGCCTTAGGAATTAAATAGTCGTTATTATTAGGGACCGGATTTTTGTTGGAAAATAATATCAAAATATAGCCACAGAATATTAAAATAAATTAGAAAAATATTAACAAAAAATGCCAAAAATTAGTCAAAAATTAGTAAAGCTGCCTTGTCCCGAGCGTAATAAATCCTCCTACTTTTTTGTAAATTTAATCAAGTTCACAAATTTATATATAAAGCTGCCTTGTCCTGAACGTGCATTTGGAAGAGGTTGTCAAAAACAACGAGATCAACAACAACAACCCAAACAAAAAGCTTCTTCAGATGTTTTTATTGAAGCAGCTAACGAGAAACAACGACAACAAAAACCCTCCCAACCCTCCCAACCCCAATACCTACCCTCTTGGAGTGAAAATAGAGAAATGTGTAATTCTAATAGACTTCGATCATTAATTTATCAATTACTTGTAAATACGAGAATTAATGATCCAACAATTAATGTTGAACGTTCTAAACGTTTTTTACAACAAAAAGCTGAATCTTTATTTGGAAATTTTTATAATGTTATTTGTGGGACAGGATTTTTTTCGTATATTGCACATACTGACGAATTTTGGTTTGTGGGATTTTTGAAGTAGTTGTAGATTAGGAACACCTTCATTTTAAAAAACAACCATTATTAGGAACACCTCCTTTTAAGAAACAACCAATATTAGGAACACCCTATTTTAAGAGATACGCCCGTTGATTAACTATTGGGTAGGGGAGTCTTGTAAGCGAGATACTCTCTATCTTGAATACTCCTCTATTTCACAAGAAAGGACTCATTATATAGTCAGACCTCATTATAAGAGACACCCATTATTAGTTAAACCCTCCAATTTTTAGTTACACCCTCCAATTTTAAAAATATGCGCTCCTAAGAAACTTAACTGACCACTGGTTAGGGGAACTGTCCAAGCGATATCCCCTATTTAAGATACCCTCCATTATAAAACACACTTTTTTAGCCACAGAGTGTACTTCTAATAGTGAGTGAATTAAAAAAATTCTATTTTTTTCAAGCCTTGTAGCAGTCAAAGACATTCATTGCTATGTATTTTCCCCAGTTTGCTCCTCTACTTCACAACAAAGGAGTATAACTTCTAGAGGAATTGAAAAACAAAAAAGACTAGCAGAAATAAATAAAAATAGTAGAAATACAAAAAATAAAAATTGAAAAATAGAATTATTTTAAATTATTTTTAAATTGAAAATTTATGGCGAGAATCAGGCATACAAACAAAAAAAATTGATAGAGAATAAATACTAGAGATCGGACTGAATGTGAATACTGACTTTGATTTTTCCTGGATTTGAAGTCAAGATCAAGGAATCCTTGAATGTTCCCTTG